AGGTTTGGATTTTATTTTATTTTTTCTCGACGATGGTCGTTACCAATTTTCGTCGCTTGTTTCATTCTCTCCTAGTTCGTTTCCCTTTTCACTTTCATTACGTTACGTTTTTGCGTGCTGGACGCGTTTTGTATAGGAAACTCGATAATTTCCACCAATTTCCTTTTGCTGCACATGTGTGCGTTAGAGTCCTGCCTGCCTGCCTGCCTGCCTGTGTGTGTGTGTGTGTGTGTATGCGTGTTCCTGCGAAGCTCATAAACTGTGTGTCGGCAATGAGTATGTTAATTCGGTTAGAGGTGAGAACGCAGGTGAGAAATAATTTCGGGGCGTGGCATCGGCTAAATGCCAATGCCAACATCTCTTTTGTGTGCGTGATCGGTCGAAAGAACAACAAAACCAAAAACCACAACACAAGCAAAACAAAAAAATTAATAAATAAAATAAGAGACAGATAAATGGGGGGAACTAAGGGGGGGCAATAGACAAATGAGAAATGGAACGAAAATTGGGTGCTCAAAGACTCGGGAGTGTAATCCAAAAGTTTATACTCTTAAAAGTATCTTATTAAATAATACGTTTTTTATTTTTAAGTAACGAGAAAGTATCCTTAATTGAATATTAAAAATACTCAAAATCTTTTTGATAAAATAGATTTTTTCTTTTGCTTTTCCTTGACACATTTGGTAACTATTTTCAATATTTAATTTAACAGTTCTTAAAATAAATTATTAAAAATTCACAGAAGTCATATGCTAAGCTTTGGCACTCAGGGAATTCAATCAAGTCTCTGAAAATTTAAAATATGAGGCTTTTATAATAAAATATGAGCTGCAAGTGTGTATAAATTTAGCTTTCATTTCTCGTAGTTTGCTAATGGAAATTCCTTTGGCTTATTTTCTGGTAATTGTATTTATGAATCACTTTATTTTATTTATTTATTTATTTGCCGCTAGGAATCAATTCTTCGCCTGTCGTTTGTACATTGTTAAATGCAATTATTATAGCTTCGCATTTAACATATTTTCCGAGATTTAATTGAATTCCCTGAATGCCATTTTACAGGCAAAAATTGTATGAATTATTTGTATATTGTATAAGTTATCCTATTCATATAACATTCCGCTCATTTGTATGGCATCTCTCGTTTTCCTTTTTTCTGGTATACTATTTTGTAAATGGAAAATGGGGGAGGGAAAATTCAATTGGCTAGATGGCTGTGTTGTGCTGGGTTTGGGTTTTAATTAGAGTTTCTGCAATTTATGGCCATTGAATCCGTCAAGCTCTCGTTAGGATTTCAAGTTAAATGACTTCCTCGAAGGCATTTATTTAATCTGAGCGAGGCCCCCACCTCCCAACCACCCCCCAGGATGTAACGCTTTTCAACTGAATTAGGAAATCCAATTAACATCATTGACATTAGATGTCCTGGAATATGCGCAATTTGTTTTGTTTCAGTGGCAGCCGAAAAATAGATTTTTTTTCTCTATTTCTATGTTTTTTTTTTTGGCATATGTAGACAGGGCACCCCCTTTTTTTGGGAGGGGGGGTGGAGTGAGGGTTAATTTGCCGCCCCCTGAATCTCCTCCACACACCCTTTAGCGCTGCTTGCTGACAAGTAGGCGTTGATGTTGATGTTGACGTTGGTCTCGTGTGTGCCCCACCCCCAGCGACGACGACGACCACGACCTTTCATCCCCCCGTTGCGTGTGTCCCGAATTGTGCGTGTGTGTGCCGCTGTGGGAGTGTGCGTGTATGCGGCTTTTCCGAGGGACACGCAACAAACAAACGATAACAAACAATTGTGGCAACGACATTCGGATACTTACACTCATGTGTGCGTGCAAGGAGGAGACTCTCTTGCTCTCGTTGCTCACATTCTCTCTCTCTCTCTCTCTCTCCCTGTCTCTGTCTCTGGCAGCTCCTGCCCTATTTTTTGGTCTTTCCCTGATTTTGGTCGGGAATGTGTTTAGAGAGGGTAAATGCTGATTGTTAATGTCGCTGCTGGGGCTGGGAATCGTGTTTTAAATCGTGTTTAGTTGAATGAATTGCCAAAATGCCAGCATCTCTGTCTCTAAAAAATGTTAAATTTCGTATTTTACACACTCACATACACAAGACAAGCTTAATAATTTCCCGTAGAATTTTATTTCAATATAAATAAAATTGCAATTAAATGTAAAGTCAAGGAATAAGTGTTCTAATGAGTACCTTTAAGGCAAGATCTTCATATATATAAATTGAAAATATTAAGCGATATATTTATATTTCTTCAAAAATATCGATATTTGAACGTTAAAAAGGTATATTTTCCGATATTTAAAAAGTGGTTTAAAAAAAACTATTGCCTTCTTTTGGGGTTTTCATTTTGCTTTAGCATCGATGCTTATAATTCCCAACTGCTCCTAGTTCAGATGTAGGGTGAAGTATCAAGAAAATTAGTGATCTTAGTAAACTTATTAATATAAATATTTATTAAATAATAAAGGTGTTTATTGTGTTTATACAATGGGCAACAATGCGTATGAGTGATGTTCTCAACGATGCGTATGAGTAACTATATCACTCATACGCATCGTTGAACACATCATCTTTTAAGACTAAACTAATTTAGAAATTTAAGCCTAAGGAAAATATAACAAAAAAACGAAGTCGAATCGAGGGCCAACATAAGCCTTAAAGAGATGTTATTACCTACTTTTAAATCAAAGAAAAATCCAAAACTTAATGAAAAGCACACCTGATAGTTAAATCCAAGAGAGTACTCTTCTTTTGCTAGCTCTCCTTTGTTGGCTTACTCACTCAATTATGATAACACAGCCGGGGTCAAAGGCCAATCCTGTCGCCCATCAATCTGTGTGTCAAATTATCCACATGATCGCCCCGCGTTGGGCGGCCACAGGAAATCCCAGTCAAGTCGGTCAACGTAGCTCATCTCCCTTCAGCTGGGCTTAGGCGGTGACACAAGTAACGCAACTGCACAAGTAGGAAAAGCAACAGCAAAAGCAGAAGCATGAGCACAAGCAGGAGGAGCACATTCAAGCAAATCTACTTAGCATAAACCAATTCACACACACACACACACACAGAGGGTGAAAAGGAGCAAGACAGCTGGGCTTTCATTACAGGGGAGTGGCTGCTTACAAACTGCGAAAGCCAAAAACTGATTATGGCTTTCAAGCCATTCAAAGCGATAGCATTCTGCACTTGCAAATAGACAAACTGAGTGTGTGGGGGAACACCAAGAAAAATAAAGGTGAAACGGGCTATAAATTGTAAGAAAAATGCTCTTAAATTTAGAAAAAGCTTTAGATGAAAATAAATCCAACAAAATAATTGAGAATCTGGCAAGGAAACTGCAGCTGCAAAGTTCAATTTTGTGTGAAAATTGAGAAATTAAACGATTATCATAATATGTACTTAGCACTCTTAGCACTCCATTTGCTGGCTGGCTTCCTGCCAGCTTTCTTCTCTCTCTCTCTCTCTCTCTCTCTGTCTCTATATATACATATATATATATATATAGTATAATTTTTCCTCCCGTGTAGGTGAAGTACAAGTTAAGCCCAAGCTGGGCCGCCCAGTCACGTTCTGGGGAGAACTAAGCTGAGCCTTTCTTTAAAAACAAATATTTGGATTTGGCAACTGAGTGAGCAGTGGAAGGACTTCAATTCCAGCAAAGAGGCAGGGTCAGAGGGAGTGAAGAAAAAAATAGAGGAGCAAGTGGGCAAAGGAGGAAAGAAATTTTATTTCCAAGCCAAATTTTAGGCAGTCCTGTGGGTGTCCCTCTGTAGGAGAGTGTATGTATACTCTATGTGTGTGTGTCTAGTTTACGACTTTTACTACTTTTCTCTCTCTCTCTCTCTCTCTCTCTCTCTCTTCCTTTAGTCCCTTCCCTGTCTCTCTTTCTGTGTCATATGCAAAACCGCACCCATATTGGAGGACAAGTAGGAAAGCAGATTACTTATCTTTTAGTTTTCATTTAAATATGAAGACCAAATTGTACACACACGCTGTGTGTGGTGTGCTTTGCTTTCTCTTATTTTCTGTTTTTTTTTTTTTATCTGAAGATAGAGAACTGTAAGCTATGTGGAAAAAGCAAGTGGATTTCTTTTTATTTCCTTCCGCCCTTTCAATTCCACATCTCCACTCTATTTTTCTATGCTTTTTTCTATTTTTGGTTAGACAAAAATAATTGGATTTACACCGAATCAAGAATCAAGATGAGACTAGAGGAAAAGGCAGGATAGCACGCAGATGGGATGATATGGGGATGTGGCTGTGGTGATGTCGTCATTCCGGGTATAAAGAAATGATGGCAGGATTCCGCAGAGGAGCTGCCTGTGGGTAGCAAAGGGGGGAATCCAAATTGGAGATATTCATAAGTGAAATTTGTTATTCAAATGGAAACATGACGTGGGGAAAGCCAAGAAGAAAGCTGTAACTTAATTTTTTAAATCCAAAACCATAAAAAGATAATTTTTAAGTTATTACTTATCTTACCAAATATCACATATCCTTAACGCTCTCTCTTCTTTTTAGTAGCGAACGAGAGAGTTCTTTTTTATGTAGCTGCTCTCTTGCTCTCTTACTCTCTCTCTCTCTCTATCTCTCTCTCTCTCTCTAGCTTGCATTCCTCTCCAATTAGAACACAAGAGAGCCAGAGAGAGAGAACGAAAAACCAGCAATTATAAGTTACTTTCCTTTTATTCTTAGAAGGAAACCCTAAAGACATTTTTTTTGTGTATATTATTTTAGTGGTTAATTACTTAATTTAAGGAAGAGAATTTAACAAAATATAGGAATAATATTTAATTAAGTTAATGCTTGCAGGTAAAGTATACCATATATGAATTAGAAGTTACTTGTGTAGATGGTCACCCAATGCTAGCGATTAAGCACAATCCGCACTAATCAGAAACACATAAAACACACACACACACTATAATTTAATAAGTAATACAATTTAATTGAATCAATTGAATATATATTTTTTTGTTCAGCTCCGCAAACCGGCGTCGACACTCTCAATTCCTGGCTCGATGAAAACACCTTCCATTGCGAACCGGGAACAGATCTCATCTGGATGCAACGAAGAAGCGGCCGAGGCACTAGTGGGTATCCACTCAGACTACCCTAGGTATGAAATGTATGTATAGACCGAGTCGTCAGTAGAGTATGTATACTTTATATATAGCAGTGTACATTCATTAACTCCCTACAACCCTAAACCCGTTTAAATAGAATCCGTATTCTGCATACTACACTGGGAAGAAATCATGTAGCCATCAAGTTAGTTTGAATTTATTTAAACAGAAGAGTAGTCAAATTTATATATATTTTATAGAAATATCTGTTTCTGAATTTTTTGGGTAATTTTTGATTATTTTAGACATATTTTATATAGAGAACTTGAGTTAGTTGGCAGTCCAAGATAGAACTCCAAATTTCCACTTGGCAAAGGCTAGTTCTGAATTTTCACTTGGGAATTATAAAAGCTGGCTTTAATCGAAAGGTGCCTCACAATTCTTAACTTTACCTTGGTGCTCAAGCTGTAGTTTAAAATTATTCTTTAAATATCAATTTATTTATATTTATGGTGAACTCTTCTCCAAGTGTACGGCTTTGGGGGCTGGCAAGGTGCAGTGCCACTGATGCCTGACATTAGGAAATGGAAAACGATAACTGTGTAACTGTGGGCAATTCATTGACTGATAAATGGATGGATGGATGGATGGATGGATAGATGGCTGGCCCGGGGACAGTAATTAGCTGTCAATGTCAGGACAAGTGTCCCAGCAAAGATGATTTTGGCACAGAGAGAGAATGAGCCAAAAAGCAGAAAAGCAAAAAGTAGAAGCATCGAAAAAGCAGGACAGCAGAAAAGCAAACAAGAAATTGCTGAAAAGAGGAATTATTCATTGGGGAGAGCTTGAGTTTTGTAGCCAGAGTTTGAGTGCCTGATCCCGCGATTCAATTTGGAGCACTCTAAAGTGAATTCCACTCACGGATGTGTCCCGTGTCCTGTCTTCTGTGTTCTGTGTGTCCAGCATCGTCCATAAATCTCTATGAATGTCGGTGGATGGCAGGATATTTTCCTGCAATCACGTTGGCAATTTGGCACAGTTCAGCAGTTTATTGAGAGACAAATGGGGGGCCGGATGGATGGCTATACACACATACTATATGGGATGGCTATGACTATGACTGTTACTGTTACTGTCAGTGTGCTGCTACCATGTTATGGGCTATGTGGGCATCGAAAAACGAGAACAGAGAGGACAGAGGCGGCCCTCCTCAATATGTTTTGTCAGCACAATTTTTATTGGCCATCTTTTGCTCATCCATATGTACGAGGCGCAAGGGTAGGGGTACACGGTAGGGTAAGGCAGACTCAGCGAGAGTACCCCCCAGTGTGCGAATCTATAAGATACAAATTGATATGACACATTTAGGGAAAGCCGGAGCAAAGCGAAAACACACAAATCTGTCATTCAGGCCGTAAGATTTATTAAGGTGCCGACGACGACTATAGTCGAAGCTGAGCTGTGAGTTGAGTTCCCTTGAGTTGGGTTGACTTAACCCCCGAGATAACCCCCAGCTTGGGCATTAGTCAGCGATCTGTGGAAAGTCAGGAATGTTGAAAAGAAGGCTAAAAGTTAACATCAAATGGGAAAGGAAATTAGGGAATTCAAGTTGCCAAAGCATAAATCAATAGGATTTTGCTCTCAGAACAAAAATAAAATAATAAAGTTTTCAAAAAAATAATTCATAATTTTCATATTTTAAATTTAAACCTAATTATGCCGATTTATTACTTATTAAAAAATATTCTATTATATCATATATTTATTTGTATTATTATTTCGTTTTCCAAATCAAATCAAAGCTTTTTCAGCTAAGTTATGAATTTGAAACTTTGTCTTTTCCACAAAAATTTGATCGATAACTATCGAATTAAAGTTGTATATCAGAAAGTGAAATAAATGCATAAATTATCAAAATAATAACTAGACTGGCGTGTAAATTAGTTTACAAAAAACCCTGATAAATATACTAACTTGGCCCATTAGTCGAAGATAATTAGCTACCTATATAGATCCCCATTGTATGGCTTAATTTATGTAGTCTAAAATCGATTTAGTGGAACCATTAATGGACTGTCCTTGGGTAAGGCAGTAGTGGAGTAGTGAGTGTGGACTGGCATAGTCCAGCGCCTAGCTGATCGTTCTCTTTATTTTTGCATTCCAAAACAATAGGTATATGGAAGAACGTGCTCTTACTGGCGGAAATACGTCCAGGAAGCCATCGACAAACTCGGCCAAACACAAACCCAATGTGGGCTATCGCCTGGGCAAGAGGAAAGCCCTCTTCGAGAAGCGCAAGCGCATCAGTGACTACGCCCTGGTTATGGGCATGTTCGGGATCATCGTGATGGTAATCGAAAACGAGCTGAGCAGTGCCGGTGTCTACACGAAGGTGAGTGTTACCTAGGATGTATGTACATACATACATATATCGTAAACTAAAATATATCGAAATTATTTTATGTCGAAAAATATAGTATTGAACGTTAAAAAATTAAAATTATTTGCAAATTAACTAAATAGTATTTATTAATTAATTTGTCTGTTTCGATTATATTGTACAGTATATAGACTTGAAGCACATAAATCCTAAAGTAAAATATCGATTCATTTTACAATCCTTTACATTGTTATCGATCATGAAAATGTAGACAAAATATGAATATGATAGATAACATAACTTAACCGTAACTAAATATCGAACGAAATACCGAATACATATCAAAATTGTTGTTTAGTTTTATTAAAGGAAAAATTGATCAAAATTTACCGATGCTTTGCCTGAAATGGATAAGCAAAGAAGCAACAGTAATTATTAGGTGTAAAAAGAAATCACTAAGAAAAATAGATTTTATTCAATTTTAATTACGATCTATGAGTAATTATAAAGGAATTGCAAAATCTAAGATTTTTCCTTACATTTATAGTGCTAATACATCATCTTTTCCTTTTTTTTATATATATATTTTGCAGGCATCGTTCTACTCGACAGCGTTAAAAACCTTAATATCTGTTTCGACTGTGATTCTTTTAGGACTTATAGTAGCTTACCATGCTTTGGAAGTGCAGGTGAGAGTGAGTGCAAATTGTATTCTTCTCTTCCAGATGTTATTGATGTTCTTGCTGATGGTCGTCATCGTTAATTGTTTAACGTTGCCGTCGTCACTCTCGCTCACTGTCACCATATAATCCGTTAGTCCCCCGTTCCTGTACCTGACCCGAAAACCAACCCCCCTTCCCCTTATGGTCATGCTACCCGGCCTCAAAATCCCAAAAAAAAAAAAAAAAGAAATATTTTAAATTCCCAAAATCATTGCCATCTCGGTTTGTTTGTACATTTGTTTGTTAGTTAGTTTGTTTGTTTGCTGTTTGAAAACGTTTCCCTGTGTCCCCGGTCAATAATTTTTGGATTTCAATATTAAATTCTAATTCGAATCCTGTTTTGTTTTATATTTTTCGCATATTGAGGGAGAGCACTCGATGAAACAACAAAATCGCCTTGAAGATTGTATACAATATTTATTTATTGACATATCAATTTTATATGTATCGAAAAAATTGAAAACTATTCCAAGAATAAGATTTCATTAAATGTGTAATTGATTTTCTTTTGCTTCGATATATTATCGATTTATTGTCCTCATATGGCTGGTTAAAATATCGATTTATTTATCGACTTTTGCAAAGCAGTATCGACATGTCGATATATTTTTAACACAAATTAAAAAAAAAGATTTGCAATTTCAACTCGATTTTGTTAAAGAGTGTTAAAAAAGAGTATGGAAGAGCGAGAGAGTGCGAGTGCCCGTTCAGTTGGTGTGAGTGAAAGAGAGGATGGACGTCCCCCCAGTTTCCCGTTTCATAATTCGGCATCGTTCCGTTCCGCCATTCGTTCATCGCATCCCAACCGTTTCCAACAAACCGCGTTCCATTCCAACATTTCTGCGGACATCTTTCAGTATATATAAACCCCCCCCCCCCACCCACCATTCATTTCACAAGACAAAAAACAAAAAAAATAATAATAATGTGATTCATTCCACCTCAAAAATATATATACAAAAAAAAAAAAAAAAAAAAAAAACAATCAGAAAAATAATGAAAGCTGAAACACTGTACATAAAGCTAACCATTCTCATTCACCCGATATCACCTTGACCACGCTCACTATATTCACCCCCACAGTTTGTTTTAAATTTTTTCCAAGCCCTTAATCGCTTTAATCCATCCGAGTAACGAGAAAGTCCGATTTGTCCTATATTTTTAATATACTATATACCCCCCGATATCCAGAGACAGAGATCCTTTAGTTTCCTTCTCTGATTTTCTGATTTTCTTTCATTTCCATTTCAAACGCAGTCGCAGCAGGTGACCCAAAATATTGAGATCAATAATATATAACCATATTCCATACCAAAACCGTTCTCGTACTCGTTTATCTCCAATATGCGCTTAAAAAAAAAAAAAAAAAAAAAAAAAAACAGTTGCATGTACAGCACTATAATTTGTTTAATTTTGCTCAATATTTGATATTTGATATATATATGATCCATATATATACTCTCTATATATATATTTAATCTATACAATTTCCACTTCTACTTCCTCTTCTTCTACAACTTATTGGTTTCGTCTTAGTTTACATTTTTTATTTACTTTTACAAAAAAACCAAAAAAAAAACTATATACCAAACACAAAAATAATAAACTTAGTTAAGAATAATTGTTGGCATGAGTTAAATACCTATATTATATAGCTTAAATAGATACCCTTACCGATTTTTGAGTGATAAACAGAAATCGGTGATGGAATCTCTTGTTTTTGGAACTTAGATAACTGTTGTAGAGGAGAGCATGGGAGCATAGACTATATTTGCCTAGTACGTAATTCAATTGATTCCGTCTTTGAACATGAACAAAAGGAACACAAAGTACAACATATATACCATCTAAATATATATACTTACCACAACATTTGATTGAATAACAATAATTTTCTATTAGCAAAATAAAAAAAAAGAAAAATACTTCTAACAAAACCGAAAATCAAATACCGAAGAGAAGTGGAAGATACTTGACTCCCTGAACTTTCCTGCCCGTAGGGACAAAGTCTTGTGTTCAGTGCTCGAATTTGGATTGGTAATTGATGAACCGATACCGATATCGATATACCAATATATCGATAGTCAGCAAATACAAAAGCAAAAGCAAATGCCTAACCTAAAACCCCAACAAAATCCTTCTCACAGCGCATTCAACCATCTCCATTGATACCATGATTCAATCAATCAGGTCATTCGAATCAGCGTTCAATCAGTCAGCCAATCAATCAGTCAATCAATCAGTCAAAACCAAACCAAAACCAAAACCCAGTCGTCAGTCAGCCGATATACTTTCTTTATATATATTATATACAAAACTGAAATCGAGAATCAATAATCAAAAATCTCATAATTCGTATTCTTCACACTTTCTCTCTCTCTATATATATATATATAATTACAACTCCGACTAAATGTTTACATATATTCCCCCCCTCCCAAAATTAATGTTGATGTTTAAAAGTAAATTTTTAATATGTAATTACCTTCCATTATGCTTTGCAGAATTCAGTAAGTAATACTTATTATAATATCTACCATACATACTTCAAATATTTGTGAGTAAATCCAAAAAAAAGAAAAAACCAAAACCATGCATAGTGTTATGTACCATATACGGAAGCAAACAATACCAAAAAAAAACAGAAAACAATACCAAAAACCAACTCAAATCAAAGCAAAACTCCAAACATGCCTAGAGTAGATAAACCATAGATCGTACTTAGATCGGCTTTATATATACGTATATATATATATATATATATATATATAACCGAAAGCCAAAATGCATACTGAAGCCAAAGCAACAACAACAGCAAACTTCAAATCGATGTTTTAGTTTAACCCGCGTCTGTACTTACTCAATATTTATATATCGTGTCTATAGTATATACATATATAACATATGTTTTTTTTATACATACATATATATATATATGTAAATATATATATATATCCTTTCTCACAGATGCAGATACAGATACAAATACTGTCACTTGTTGTCCAACATTAAAAATTTGAAACAAACCCAAAAGGCAACTGCTTGGCTGATAAGAATAAGAAAACTGTGGCTTAGCTTGCACCACTCACCTTGTCCCACTGTACAGTACACACTGGCCATTTGCGAGATGATTGTCATTACAATATATCCATGAAACCGATTTCAAAAATCTCCAAGAGTATGCAAATACTAAGAAAAAGTGTTATTTTGACTGTACACCTTTAAAGGGATTTCATATAAGATGAGCTTTTCTATTATTCAGTTTATCAAAAATCATTAAAAATATACAAAGGAAATGAGAAATTATTAATAGAGAATATATTTTGTATACTTTTATTGAGAATTGGTTTTCACCTGGTCTTGGCAAGAATGTGACCTTTTAAATTCCCTAAAAAACCTTTTTTTTATCGAGAGTTTATTAGGAATAATCGATCTATTGTCAATCGGCTCGCAACTACATAACATTGATGTACATGGGCACAAACATACATACATACATACACAAGCATAATGCATACATATGAGCATTCCCATTGCTAAGTCGATACTGAATATATTTATCTATTATATATATACAATCGATATCGATAGCTAAACTATCAAACATTCAACTCCCATCATAATCACTCCAAAATTCCCAGCGATCATCGGAAGAAATTTTAATTAATCGAGCCGAACACAGGACTTTGTGATAAAAAATATATATATATTTCGTAATTATACATAGCAGAGACTTAACTTTTGTCCGCATATCGATTTCAAATCGAGAAGTCCGATGAATCACTAAACCAAAATCGTTCAGTTAAATCGGCTTAACTTGCGAATGCCTCATATGCTTTTGTACCATTGATAAACGAATAATACACAAAGTCCAAGCTTTAAGATGAACAAATAATTGCACTTCTCTGCTTAGATGTTGTGATATATATAAATATATATAAACATATATACATATATATAGATGTATATATAAATGAATTTATCATATATAGACAAAGCTTACTTGAACTGCACTGCCAATTGTGGGAATTGTGGGATTTAATCGGATTGATATTTGAGCCTTCGATTCAAAATTGATTTGATAACGAAATTAGGAAAGTTTAATAAAAAAAAGCCACACAGAGAACAGAACAGTACAGAAAGAAAAAGAATAAAAAAAAGGTAAACAATCAAGCAACCAAGAAAACAAGAACGAAATCGAGTGAAATATGTGCTAATTACACGAGAACACGCACGCTGCTTTCTAGTAAGTACTATGCACTCACACATGCACAGACGCACAACACCCTTCTATACCCCAACTACACCCACCGAATTTCCAAAAGGAGATTCCATATATTCACAGAGAACAAAAAGCAATATTACAAATACTAAATTTATATTCACATTATGAGAATAACAAGGTTTCAAGTTGTGAAAAATGGTAAAAATCTATTTGAATAGTTAATACATTGTTTTAATATATTTTATATAAAAATGAGTACAGGGTATTGCCTTTTTTCTCTGTGTATATATTCCTCTATATACCTTACGATACTTGAACTTGACTTGGGAACTGCTTCTACCACCTTCAGCCACCAACTTGCAACCTGCAATACATGAGCCATTAACACCCACCTAGGCACACACAAACACCTGCAGCCACAACTACACCCACACTTAGACCCACTCATAGACACACACACACTCAAAACACACAGATACATTTCATTGACGTTGTACTTGTCAAATAATTCATGCTCGTATATATTTGAGTGTAATTCATTTTTGTTTAGTCGCAAAAAAAACCAAACGAATAGAATCAATAATCTTCCAATTATAATTAATAAATGATATACTTGTTCTCTTTTCTCTCTTCTTCCCTTCTTGTGTTTTTATCGTAAAACTAAACCAAAATGCGATCGAATCCAATCAAAATCGAAAAATGTAATAAAATCAAAAACAGTTATTCATGATAGATAACTGCGCCGACGATTGGAGGATCGCAATGACATGGCAACGAATTAGTCAAATAGGGTTAGAACTTTTTATATGCGCTATACATCCAATTCCTGGCGAATACTATTTCCAGTGGACGACGAAATTGGCCAATAAGAATAAAACAATTGGCACCGAAATGGTGCCATATGACGTAGCTTTATCATTACCTATGTTCCTTCGATTATATTTAATCTGCCGCGTAATGCTGCTGCATTCAAAGCTATTCACAGACGCATCATCACGGAGCATTGGCGCTCTCAATAGGATTAATTTTAACACAAGGTGAGTGTAAAATGCATGAATTTAAATGATAAATATATAATAACAACTAGGGTAGCATTTATGGATTTATATATAGACTTCCGTGTTATCGAGGCAGTATTGATATATCGATATTTTCGATATATTTAAATGGGTTTCTAAAGATTTCACAAGCTTATTGGTTAATTAATACATATATTAATCTTATTAATATATAATTAATATATATCGAATGACTGTATTGATATATATATCGACTTTAGTGATATCGAGGCAGTATTAATATATCGATATTTTCGATATATTTAAAATTGTATAATATATTGTGATGTTTACTTTTATATTTATCCATATCTATATATCCATATTTATATCTATATATTTACCTACATTTTTAGATTCGTTTTAAAAACTCTTATGACAATATGCCCGGGAACGGTTCTATTGGTCTTCATGGTCTCGCTGTGGATCATCGCCTCCTGGACGCTGCGTCAGTGCGAAAGGTAATGATCCCAATTCCCCTATATTCCATATAATATTATATACTATACTTATGATATTTATAACTTGTGTTAAAACTTGAATTTCAATTTACTTTTGATTACCAAGCTTTTGAGTTGACGTTTTTGCTTTTGGTTTCCTTTTCAATTTTGGTTTTTAATTCCATATTTGATTTTAGTTTTCTATACTCCGTTTTTGCGTTCTTGCCACTTCCGTTATACCGTTTTACCGTTCGAATTCAATGTGTTTTGCCACTACTACTAATACTTTGACATAACTATTTAACGTATGTATTTAATATCGATGTATGTATGTACATAAATGTATGTGCCAAGCATTACGTAATGTCTTCTCCAAAAAAAATTACAAAACAAAAATGACTCAAACTTGAAAAAACTTAAACTCAAAACTTTCTACGTTCACAGTTGTCACAAGTGGTTATTTCGTGTACTCCTTAATTCATTAAGCATTTTATTTTCCTTTTTTTTTTAGAAAGAAAGTGGGACGGGGGACCTTATGCGCATTTGACTTAAAGAATTTTCATGTAGCTTGCATTGTAAAAAAAAAACACACACACACACAAAAGAAAGAGTAAAAAACAAGCCAAATAAAAAAGGAAAAAAAAAAAAACAAGTAACGAATACGAATGCTAGTCTGTAGCATAACGGTTGCTACAATCGAAATGCAATTGTCACTGTCACGTAGCGAACGATTGGATAATGGATAATGCTTGCATGTGTTTCAATTTATTTACATTTGGCATTCGGATTCGCTTGTTTTTTTTGTTTTTGTGTTTTTGGTCCACCCTTGGAAACCCCCCTTTTCCCAATTTTCCATACAATGTCACTGCTCTGATTGCTGATTGCTTTTTTTTACTTACACTTTTCTCGCTTGTTCTGGGTTCTTTTGGTTTTTTCCCCCAACTCATCACTTTCTCCATTCCTTCCATTTGACAACTGACAATTTATCGATATATTTTCGATAAACCGTTGATTGAAGTCCAAGGAGGGGGTGGACAGTCAACAACAACAGCACACAGACAGACACACCGTGTAGAATTGGAGAATGCAATAAGAAGAATTGAATTGAATGCCATATATCTGCATATATATATGTGTATATATGTATATATTTATATGTACATATATATGTATATTTATATGTACGTTTATATACTATAAATACTTGTATCCAAAAATCCCATTTTTGAAATATCATTTTCTTAGATTTGTTTGACTTTTGGCTCTTTGTGTTTTGAACGTTGTATGCTAGTTCTGTCTCTTTTCGCTCTCTCTCTCTCTCTCTCTCTCTCTCTCTTACTCTCTTGCTCACTTGCTCTCTTGCTCTTATTCTTACTCTTCTCCATCCTTTTTCTTCTAGCTTCTATTAAAGATTTTGTCAGTTCAGAATCTCTATATTTGTCTCTCTCTATCTCTCTTTGTCCTGGTTGTCTATCTTTCTATCTCTTTCCATTTTGGCCCTTTCTGACCCTCTCTCTCTCTCTCTCCTGCTCTCGCCCTTGCTCTGTCAATCATAATTGATCTCGTTCAGTTAAGTTTTTGTGATTCTTAAAATTTTCATTTAATTTTTTTTTAACAACGTTCCTTAATATATTTTTCGTTGTTGTTTGTTGTTGGTGTTGTTGTTGCAGTTTTGGGCAAACCAAAAACAAAAACACAAAAAACATAACATGCCAAAGCTAAAAAGCAAAATGTATTGAAAAACCCAAAAACACCAAAATGGAGAAAACCTGGAAAATCTTCCAATATTTTTAAATAATTGTTCAGTAACATTAATTCCATTAAGCTGCTGAAGCTTTGCTGATGATCATGATATATGCAACCGAAAATAAACTCCAAAAATATATAAAAATAATAATCAATGCACAAAAGAAATCCCGCTCCCAAAGTCTCAGAACTGAGAACGGAGAAACAGCAGGCTGTTGTGTTCCGTCTAGTGACGAAAGCATCTACTATACACCATTATCCTTGCTGTTGCTGCTGCTGTTGTTGCTGTTGTTGTTCTTGCTGTTGTCTTTATTGTTGCTTCGTGTTTCAAATATAAATACTAAGTGAATACATGAAAAAAAGAGTAATATAAAATACAAAAATTCCCTCAACTGTTGTCAGTTACTAAATCAAAACAGTCGGACAATCACAGGCACACGACAGGACCTCCTCGTCCTCCTCCATCTTCTTCTTCTTCGTCTTCTTCTCTGTTCCTGCTTCGATTGAATAATAATAATAGTACAATTCTCGATTTGATTTCCATTTTATTTCATTTTCAAGCAAGATGAGTGACACGTATTGATTTGCGTGTCACATCATCCAAAGCTCGATTTCATGATGTTCCTGAATGTTTCACTTTCGATTATTTTGTATTATTTTTGGACTGGCACTAGCTGAAATAAAACAAATAAAGCCTCTGTGGGAAATTTATAAATGAAAAGCCCACAAACTTCCTTTCAATCTCAACAGCAGGAAAAGAAAAAAAGTAAAATAAAACAAACCAAAACGAAACGAAACGAAAACACACACCAAGTTACATTTGTCTATAGTATGTATTTTCTGGTAACGATGTTGAATTTTGTTTCAGAATGCGTATTATATATTTGTATATCGATGTTATTCCGTAGAAATTGGTAGAATTTTTCATTTTCGATCTGTCAGTTTAGCTGGGAGACCCTTTCCTCCCCTCTTTTCATATTTATTTTCATGTTTTTGCGTGTCTGTACGTGTCTGTGTCTGTGTCTGTGTATGTGTATGTGCGTATTGTTGGAGATCCTGGAAATGTATCCTAAGCACCCATGCATGCTCTGCTCAGCTCGGATCAAATCTCTGTGAATTAAGGATAAAGGCAGGTTTTTTGGGGTGAGGGGGAGGAAACACGAGATTTTTGTGGCTTTAGGAGAGTGTTTACCAACACTGAATACACTGAGACATAACACACACACACACACAGAGAGCAAGGACTCCTGGCATTCATTATGATTTTCCTTTGCAAATTGCTTATACCATCCGCATTCACATTTACACACAGTTCTCACACACTCACACCCACGCACACACACTCACTCGCCCTTCGAAAAATGGCGCCCAACGGAGCAATGCCGGAAGGCACAATGCATGCCTGAGCACAGTGGCGTACGAAAAAAAAAGGCAAAAGGGGGTACGATATATAACATATAATAGTTAAGTTTTGTTTTTGTTTTTTCTTATTGAAACATTAACCGTAAATGGTTTTTTGTAAATTTAATACTAAAGTAAATATAAAAAGCCCCAGTTATTGCGTACGCCTCTGGCCAGCATTTAGTGGGCACGTCTCTAGGGCTTCAGGTGGTAAGCCTCTTCAGTTCAGGAACTTGGGGCGGGGCAATTTTCGGGTTTTCGGGAGGGGCTAACTCTCTGATGGGCCATTTCAGTCATTTTGCATGTAGAGTTGCACGAGTGTGTGTGAGCTGTGTCTGTCGGCCTGTTCCACTCAGATCAAGAGTTATCGCTTAAGACCCGAACAAATCCCATTCCCAGTCCTGCCCCCCAACAGATTTCAATACCAAATAAAGCAGAAGGAGAGCCCTTAAAGGATAAAGGAGTAAATGAGAGAAGCAAGAAGGAGTAAGATGAGAGGAGGCTTTGAACCGATGCCGATGCCAAACTATCCAAAAAAAAAACTATATAATTATTCACTATTATTCATGTCATTTGTATATTCCAAAAATATTCGTATACTATATCCCTATGCCCCCTCGCCCCCGCTCCCTTAAAAAAAGAACTATCTATCTTTCTCTATATCTGTATCTTTCAATCTATCTATCTCTCGCTCCTATTTTTGATATTGAGGACTTATAACTTATAATTATATATAAAAACAAACAATCCAAAAAGATAAAGCAAAATTATATATTTTCCGTCTTATTTCCCTGGTTTTTTTTCGTATTTTCCCTTATCAAACCTTGTTTTTCTTATTGCTTTTGATTTTTCGTATATTTTAAATTATTATTTGGTTGTACTTTTATTTTTTGGTACATGGAAAATTACTTTAAAATTATTCAAAACGAAAAAAATTGTATTCTTAATTTCCTTCGAAAAAAAACCAAAAAACTAAATAGAAAAAATTTAAACAAAAAATGTTCACATAATTTCACATCTGTTTATTTGTTTACTCCACTTCTCACCCTACTTCTGTATCCACAAATTGCAAAAAAAAAAAAAAAACAACAACAACAACAAAAATGTATGAAATCGAATATATGAAATACCAAAAACAACCGAAACCGAACCGCAACTTGAAAACGCACCATATATATATATATATTTTTGTATACTGAAAATCGCTAACGCATAAAAATGGCTAAACAAAAATCAATTAAATCTATAAAAAACACTAAAAAAAAAAACGTATCATAAATGAACAAAACGAAAACGAAATGATTGAAATTCGTATATACCCCATATATTTTTCACAAAAAACAAAAAATTCAATCAAATGCTAAACGCATGCCGAAATTCGAACAAAAAATAAATCCGATAACCGATGCGATACCAATACCGATACCAATATCGATAACAATCAAAGGTTCCACGATGAGGAGCACGCGAATTTGCTTAACTCCATGTGGCTAACGGCCATCACATTTCTATGTGTCGGCTATGGCGACATTGTGCCAAACACGTACTGTGGACGCGGTATCACCCTCACCTGCGGCATGGTGGTAAGTATTTTCCTACAAAAAAAATATATATACAAAAATACCAAACAAGAATACCAATCTAAAAATACCAGCAAAAAAATATATATATACCAAAAAATAAAAAAAGTAAACATTTATGATACTGAAAAAAAAAAAAATTTAAAACTAAAATCAAATAAAAACTAAAACAAAAATATAGAAACAGTACAGAACAGAACAGTTGCAAGAAAAAATACTACAAAAATCTATAATGAAAACAACAACAATATATAGCATACATCATCATTCAAGAACAACAACAACAGCAACAACAAACAGAAACAGCCAGAAAATCATGCATAAAAAATGACTAAATATGAGAAATCTAAGGAAATACTATGTCTTGGGAGGTTTGACGAGGTGGGAAGGGGGGGGGTAGAGAAGGAGGAGGAGAAGGGTGGTGGTGGAGGTGGAGGTTTACCAAAGTTTAGGCGCCATCAAGGCGCCATAATATATATACATACATATATGGAATTTTAGAGTAATTGTACCTGCCAAATCAAGCTTTTATACATCTAGTATATATTTTTCATTCTTTTTGTCTTCCCTTCTCCGTACCACCCCCCTCCGCCCTCATTTTCGAGTATGAATACTTATATATAAATAAATTGAAACGGGAAATTCAAGCCAGACAGGCAGGCAGGCCACACTCACTACACACACACACACACACTGTACACTCACATATTCATTTTTCGTAGCATACATTTCAGCGCACATCCTATATGTATATTTTTGATGCCGTTTTGTCTGACCCCCCACCCCCAAATGAAAAAAACAAAATATAAATCGTGGCTAAAAATCAAGAGAAAACCAACGAAAATAATCAGAAAAAAAAAGCGGAAAGCCAAGCGATAGTACTTTCCCTCTGCCCCTCTCTTTCTTCACCCCTCTCTCTCGCTCTCTCCCTCTCTCTCTTCCTATAACTATATATCTCTATCTGTTTTTTTTTTCTCACAAACACATTACACCCACACCCACACTCTGGCAATCTGTTGTAAATCATCACAAAATCAAAAAAAAAAATGGAAATAGTACACCCAAAACGTTGTGTGTGTGTGCATTATATATATTTAAATATATGTACATAAAGGCTCATGTGTGTGTGTGTGTGTAGAGAGAGTGTGCGTGTGTGAGTGGCACAAATTTTGAACTTTTGTTTTGAAAAGAACCAGAAGCCGATAACAAAAACAACAGCAACAACAACAGCAACAATGTGACTTTTATTTTTCTCTTACTTTTCCTTATTTTTCTTTTTGTTAAAAAAAAATAAGATAAAATAAAATAAAAACACACACACAGAGAGAGCGGAGACAACAAAGGGAAGCTGAGAGAAAAGTTTCTGCTTCCTGGCAAAAAGCAGAAAAACAAAATGAAAACAAATCTTTTCTGACAGCTTACAGGCAAATTCTATTAATGTACATACTTAACTAGGTGTCTGTGTGTAAGTGTGAGTGTGTGCGATATTTAAAATTAAATTTAATGATTTTTCTGCACCCTAGAAACTGTAGTTTTCTTAAATAAAAAATAAAAAACAAAAATACAAGCAAAGCAAATAAGCAAAAATCTCACTTGCTCTCTCACTTAATGTTAATGCCATGTACAGGATATATGTATACATTACCCCCCCCCCTGTACATATATACATATATAAATATATATATACTAACGATCTCATTGAAACCTTTAAAAAAAATGAAAAACCAAATTCAATTAAATTTCCACCAAATGTTGACCACTGTAACTGTGCGTGTGTGTGTGTGTGTGTGAGCTGCTCTCTCTCTCTCTCTCTCTCTCTATCTATCTATCTCTCTCTCACCCGTTTACTCGTCCAGTTTTCTTGTTAATCTTGTTTAACCGTTTTTCCCCCGTTTTTCCCGAATGCCCGAATTCAAAGTTTTCCTTTACTTTACTTTACACACACACACATACACATTTTCTTTGTGCTTTACTTGGTTTTCGTTTCCGTTTCCTTTGACGTTTGACGTTTGCTTTTGCATTTACTTTACAGTTTTTATTCGTTTGTTTTTTATGTTTTTCTTTGGTTCCTTTTTGATTTTAGCTCATTTTACCTATATGCCTATTTAGTTTTTAAAGAATTCTTATAGTTTATTTTTCAAACATTAAGCCAACAATACGATATTTTTCTCTATCTCTCTTTCCCTTTCATTAAAAAAAAAAAAAAACAACAACAACAAAACGCGTGTATACAATTTGCCCTTTGAAAAAAATATTGAAAATGAAACTTCAACTTCAACTTGAAAAAAAATCTATTTAAAACCATAAACAATGTCCTAAAAAATCAATTCAAAAATATATATAATATCCATTATATATATATATATATATTTCCACCTGAAATTTATATGGAACAACAGATTTCATGACGAAGAACATGCGAATCTTTTGAATGCAATGTGGCTGATAGCGATAACATTTTTGAGTGTTGGTTTCGGTGATATTGTTCCGAATACGTACTGTGGACGTGGTATCGCTGTCAGTACAGGAATAATGGTGAGTTTTTAAACAACAAAAAAAAAAAACAAAATATTATATACAAAAATTGCACACAACATAACCCAAAAAAAAAGAGAAAGAACTAATAATTAATTATTAATGTTCAGACCAAAAATCACGTGTAAATAATTACATAAACTGCATACGAATGTTATTCCGCCCACCACAACCGCCCTTCGCCGCCACTTAAAAAAAAATATATATATACCAAAAATTACCAACCAATATCCCAAAAAAAAAAAAAAAATCGTTATGTTCCTAGCAAACTGTACATATATTTAGTCAAATAAACTAGTTGACCCACCGAAAAAAAGAAAGAGAGCCTTAGGAGTTTCCTGCATGTACTTAGGCAAAGCGATTTTCCCATCCAAAAACTACAAGAATTTCAAGCAAAAGGAGCCCAACCATAACCATAGGGAGTTTAGCATAGGAACTAGTGCTTATTAGTACACACGCCTCAAAATAAATATATATTTATAGTTCTTTCGCCTTCTATTTACCTATCTATTCTAATCTATCCTCTTTTAATTCCACTTTTATCAAGCTCTGCTCTTCTGCGTGGCTAACTTTCACTTCTCTTTCAACTCGATTTCGATTGCAATTTCGATTTTGACTTCGATTTTCCTCTCTCCAAGTCCTAACTGCTTTTTATACATATATATTTTTTTAAATAGACTTTTTGAGATATTTATCAGTAAAGCTATGATAAATAAAACAAAAAAAAGAACCTAAACGTGAACTTAAAATACTCGTATATTTGCGCTCCCAACTACTATGACTATGAATTGTGTCTTATGGTTTCAACTTTGTTTCCTATAGCTAATCGTTTCGTACTTATGTGTGTATTATCTTGTATATCTCTGCCAGACACCTCTAACTGTTGTAATACATATATATATAGAAATGTGCCCCCCTAGTAAAATCCATTAATACCCCAAATAATATTATCGAATCTAAACCATCTCTAAATTCTAACAGCAAGTTGTTATCGGAATTCATCCGTTCATCCACACACGCATTCACTCTCTCATCCGCTCATTCATTCATTCATTTGATGTGAAAAATCATCGAGAAGCAAACAAAAATAACAAAAGTAATTGAAAAAGAAAACAAAAAAAAAAAAAAAAAATTAAAAGATGACGAAAAAAAAATAAATAACATACACACGTTGTAACACCCATAACAGTATCTTAAATCAATTCTGAGAGCAACGAAAAGTTCTGGACTATAACTCGATAAACAAAGAAAAAAAAAACAGAGAAAGAAACAACAACTCCCATTTTGAATGCATAAATCAAAAGTGAAAATAACCAACTGACATTACAGATGGCTGTCCGGACGGACACCCAACTCCGGAAATCTATTGGACACACACAACCACCCCGAGTGAACCATCATCAATCGAAGTGTGTGTGTGTGTGTGTCGTTATAATTAGGAAAATTGCCTTAACTATTGGCCAATTTCAGTTAATTTGCTCATTTCGATTACATTTAGCTTGAGCACTCCACGCTCTTTAATTGCCAAGGCAAATTCCCTAAAAATAATGTGTTGAAAATAGTTTTATATACAATAATCACTTTATGATTATTTTAAAATCCTTAAAACAATATTTTTACTAGACAATCGATAACTTATCGAGTTTAGTTAATTTTAAATCAACCGCATATCGATTTTTAAAATATCAATCTAGGTGTTTAGTAGTCTGATCGATTTTCAAAGACGATCGATTAATTATCGAAATTAGTTAATTTTAAATCAGCTGCATATCGATTTTTAAAATTTAAATCCATGATTTTAGTAGTTTAATCGATTTCCAAAGACGATTGCTATTTGATCGAAATAGTCAAAGTCTATAACAATAATAATAATATTAATTATTTAAGAAACCGATAACTCGCTATATAGGTAATTCCATAAATAATCCAGAAATCGACTTTAAAAGCAGATTTTACTGCACAATCCAGAGTTGGGTGTTCCCGTCCATATGGCATATATGATGGGTTCGATTAGAAAACTCACCGCGTTATTGAAATCCAAATGCAATGTCCTCACCCAGTCTCCACATCGTCGTTACAGGGCGCCGGCTGCACGGCCCTTCTGGTGGCCGTCGTTTCCCGGAAACTGGAGCTGACCCGTGCCGAGAAGCATGTGCACAACTTCATGATGGACACGCAGTTGACCAAAAGGGTATATAGATCGTGTTCCAAGACGCCCAGATGGATCGAGTATCGGACGACGGACCGACCGACCTGAACTGACGAACGAAGGACGAAACTTGGATGATACTCTGCCTACGCACCCCATGTATATCCACATATATATATATATTGCATTCTAATTACCTTTGTATACGTTTCTTCTTTGAACCAAAATTTAGCTGAAAAATGCTGCGGCGAATGTCCTTCGTGAAACTTGGCTCATTTACAAACATACAAGACTAGTAAAACGGGTTAATCCCGGCCGTGTAAGAACCCACCAAAGAAAGTTCCTTCTAGCTATATATGCGTGAGTATTTTTAGAGATCTATCAACAACCAATCAACCTAACAACCAACCAATCAATCAATCTGCCAATCAATCTACCAACCAACAACTTTTACTGATAAAAGTTTATGAAAAAAGAAACAATTAACAAACAAAAAATGAACTGAAAAGTGCCCAAGAACTAGTGAAGCAGGAGAGACTAGATCTGTTTTGTGGGGAAATCGAAAATAAGAAGCAGGATATATAGTATATCAGAAATCAAAAATAAGGAACTAGAAATCAACCATCATTGATTGTCTCCAATTGTTTATGTTCTGTTGTCACTTCTCCCTCGCTGTTCTAATGTCTCTGTAAATGTTTTTGGAAACTAACTACTCATTTGTCCTGCAGAAAAAGAAAAAATCACACACATATATATATCTCTGCTGTATGTAATATGTTCTGTGTCGGCAATATCAGTCTTTAAAAACCCGTTTAACCCTGTTATTCCCTGTTATTCATGTACAATTAGATTCATAACCAAACGCATCAATAATAACAAGCAATAATATTTGTAGGCCAACAGTAGGCAAGCTTTTGTTTCGGTTTGGGAAAGCATCATCAAATCAAAAAGAACAAAACTGTATATATGAAAAACAAGAAGCAAAACTAATCGAAATGCAACAAGTACTAACAAAAAACCAAAAACTAAAAGCTAAACTAAACAAAACTGAACTGAACTGAAAAAAAGAACCACAAATGATTGAACTCGTTTTACTAGCCTGTAAATAGGTTGTAAAGCCCTGTTTTTACGTTATGCAATTAACCGAGATTAGCCACATGACCTAGCATGCTGCGTTAAATATTCTAGAATCTCGTATCTAAAACTATCGCAATATCATCAAGCTTTTTCCTGGCCCAGGGCCCACCTATCTATTAGATCTCATTACGCAATCCACTAACCACCAAAAGTCTAAAGGTACTTGAGTGCTCCTTGTCCCTGCAAACCGCATACATACGTACGTATATATACTCATAAAGTATCCTGTGCCTTGTCGTAGTAACATCATTTTCATTTCAAAATAATAAACAAACAAAAACAGAAGGGGGAAGCACAGACTGGCCCAGGGATCAACCGTATGATATAATGATACTTTCACGATACGATTTTCTGCAATTTTAACGCCCAAAAAGAAATATGGAAATTTTTTCTAACCTTCTTAACTCTTAATCTATCTTATCGTAACTACGGCACAATAAATTCTACACACAAACTATAATAATAATAATGATAATAATAATAATCATCAAGAAAACGTTTTCAGTGAATATCTTTTCAAATAAATTAAAAAGTAAACAGTGCGATTTGAAACTTTAAGGGAACTCTAATCGACATATCGTTACTGTATCGCTATTTTTATATAATAAATATTTTAACGTTAAATTCTATTTTTTAATATTTAAAATTTTAACTTAAAGTTTCAAAATCCACAGAATCAACATTTGTCCGATTTTTAGATAAACTTCTTAATTTTTTTTTTTTAAATTTTTTTGTGACTTGAGTTGGAAATGAAAAGAAAATTCGGCTTGTCGAAAGCTTGCCACGATAAATCTTTTCCACGTGTGTGTATTATATGTTTTTGACAATGATAAATACTTAAATAATCTTTTTCATAATATTGATGACTCTTCCAACGCGATGCAGGTTGCGAAAAGTTAAAATGGATCAGCGCAAACTAATGGATAATGCAAACACAATAACTGATATGGCCAAGGTAGCTAACGAAATGGCAAAAATTAAGAAAACTGAAAATGCAGGAGAGCTTTCGTAAAGTCATCGTTACATATCGATATTAAATCGATTATTTCGTTATATTATTCTAGCTAAGTAATGGTTTTAAAAATATATTTTGTTTGTTGTTTGCTCTTTACTTGAAGATATAGCGAGTTATTTACTCTTGACTTGATTTGACCCGTTTTATTTACGGAAGCTCCACTGTAAAAGCAATTTATCAATAGTTGATAGAGTAATTTACATAAGCTAAGTCCTTGTGCCCTGTTAAATGCATTGTTGGTGACCTCTCTGTGTGTGTCCGTTACCATTCGCAGACACAAAACACGGTCTACGAGATAATATCGGACATGTCTAGCCGTCAGGATGCCATCGAGGAGCGCTTGACCAACCTGGAGGACAAAATGCAGAGCATACAAGTATGGAAAAATAAAAGAAAAAGAAAAACTAAACAACCTTAATAATGACGATCCCCCACCACCACAATACCTCAATCCTCCAAATTCCCCTCAATCCTCTTTTCCAGGAGCACATGGAGAGCCTTCCGGATTTATTGTCCCGCTGCTTGACCCAACACCAGGAGCGGATTGAGCAGCGTCGCAACTTTCTGCATCCGGATACAGCGGCGGCGGCAGTGGCCCCCATTGCGGCGCCGACCCCCCAATCGATGTTCAACGCGGCGCCCATGTTGTTCCCGCATTCTAGGTGAGTCCCCATCTTTTTATATTTATCTTTTCCTTTCCTTTGTCTCTGTCTCTTTCTCTATCTTTGTCTTTCACTCTCTCTCCAATACACTCAGAGCAAAACTCGTGAAAGTTTTCGATGTCTCAGGGATTTTGTTTTATATTTTTCTGTTTTTAAGATCTATATCCTTATTATTTAGAAATTATAAATTAACTAACTCTTATTTACTTGACGATTTTTGTTCTGAGTGTATCCACTCTCTCTCTGTCTCTGTTCCGCCGCTCCATGCCCATTAGCCTCATCTCAATCTAAACACACTCGCGTCCATCATCATTTCAATATGTTTTCGTGTCCGTGAATTGCTTGTCTTTTTTGAGGCCCTGTTCCTGGTCCTCGTCCTCGTCCTCGTCTCGTTCCCACTCCCTTCGTCTTGTATAGTCTTGTAAAGCCATTTGTAAATATATATAGAGTATATATCTGTGTTTCCTAGATGTCCACTGCACACACACTTGACTCCTTCAAAAATTATAAACCCTAACTTTGTGATTCCCAAAGAAAAAAAGGACACAGAGAATCCTACTCCTTCTTCTATGCAAGATTCAAGTGATTTAGGACTGCCATTTAGTTGAGTTCACAAGTAAATCTAATAAAAATAATAAAATAGGAAAACTAAAAGAGAATACGTGTGCTTACATTAAATATTTTTCCATCTAAGGACCAATTTCTTTCTTGAGTTTATTCTAGGGATGATAAACAATATTAAGAAATCGATAATGTATCGATGTAAAATAATATTTTAAAATTGCGATAAATCTATATTTTATTTTGTATATTGGTCTGTATGAAAGAAGAGCTTAAATATGATTTTGAAAGGGAATATATTTTTCCAGATTTGTAATATTCAAAATAATACAGAGCTGGAAATAAAATCGATTCTAAATTCGATTAATCGATTTTTAAAATTAGGCGATACATCGATATACAATTCCAGAATCGATTTAATCGAAAAACTTCTATACATATTCTGTTGGATACATCCCATAAATATATCGTTAAAGATTAACAAATAAATGTTTAGGATATTCGATAGTATCGATAATTTAACTTAAAATTAATGTTCACGATATTTTCTATATAATATAGAACGCAATATCGATTTCCTTTCGAAACCTATCCCTAGCTCATTCTCTTACTGAATCGCCAAGGCTTTTCTATTCTCTCTCTACTCTACTTCAATCTATTTTAATCTATTCTATTCATTGTGACATTTTTCATGATTTGCATCCTATCAAAGCATCGCCATTGAAAAGATAATGAGAAACAAAAAAAAAGAAAAAACCAAATTTGATTTGTTTTTGATAAGATAAGCGTTACAAATGAAAATAACGACAATTAACATACTGCTTTTTGCATAGAAGTGTTCCCTCATCCAATAACGCCGCTGCTACTTACCATTGGCCAACAAGCCCTATTTTGCCACCTATATCTAGTAGAACACCACATTTAGTGCCTGATACTCACATGCCATCAAATGGATCTGCAGTTAATAGCTACGCATCTTCCAACAAATACGGCAGCTGAATATCAGAAAGAGAGCGCTCCAACTCCGTGATTAACATCGAGATGCTAACAATAAGGCCGGATCGGTCCATCTGGCCACCCGCAACAACATCAATGTCATCATCGTCATCTTCAGTAACCGCAACTACGTCTACGTCAATGTCTAAGCCCGAATTCGGAATGGCCGAAACAGCGCTGAGGCAACGTTTGCACTCGCCGTCGTTATCGCAATCGCAATCGCAATCGAAATCGCTAACGAAAATGCTATCGAAATCACAGTTACAGTTGCAAGAGCAACTTGTCCACGATCGAGAAATAATACCCGTGATACCCGAAGATGCCGAATCGCTGGCGAACACCACCAACACGACGAATAGCAACAGTTCGCCCGATAATAATCAGTTACTAGCTATCTGTAGTGGTGGCAACGAATCGATAAACAATGAACCGATACCGATGCCGATGACGACAACGACGACGACGCCGATTGCCTCGAATAAGTTTACTAGGAAAAGAGAACGTGTATGCAATAATAGTAGTAATAGTGCTAGTAATAGTAATAATAGTAATAATAGTGGTAATGGTAATATTAGTAATTCTACAAGTCGAATTTCGAACTCGGCCTTTTGTAAATAAGCCTCTTTCGAAATGAGAAAAAAAGTCAAATGTTAGCATATTATATACCCCCACAGGCACACCTATGTATGTATATATGTGCATATATATATATATATATATATATAAGCTATCGGCTATACATATACATACATATATATATATTTATATATACAGATGTGTGCATAAATTTTTTTTTCCAAATCTTAGGCTAAACGTATTTGTAATTCTCACCTTGGGCCAAGGCAGCCTGTACTTGCATACTAAATATACATTAAATATATAGTTTGTGCGTATGCGTGTGTGTGTGTGTGTACAGAGTGTGAGTGTGATTGATTAGGTGAATATAATTTAAGGTCATCATAAAAGCATAGATTGTAAAATTGAAAGAACGCTCAGAAAGCTGAAATACAATAGGAAACATCTCCCCCCAAAATGGCAAATGTACGATAAAAGCAATTGAAGTAATCCTGAAATCCTCAAAAAGCACAGCTTTGGCACTTCCGGTTCCGGTATTTCCATCTGCAATTCATTTACCAAAAACATGGCTTAAAAAAAGTCCGTCTGTCTTGTTTTTAATCCCAAGGATGCATCTAGTCTTTTTATCTGCCTGTCTGTCTGTCTGGCTGTGTGTGTGTCGTTCAAGTGTGTGTAAGTGTGTGGAAGTAAGACGAAAATAAAACCAAAACTACAGAGAACCAAAAATCCATAAAAAAAACCATATAAAAGAAATTTAAAAACTAAAAACTAAAAACAAAATAAGAAGAAGAAAAAACAGAAATCAACCAATAACAATGACAACCTATCTAGCTGTAAAAAAAAATGTATCTAGAAAACAGCAACATCAAATGATGAAAAGTGGAAAAGAAAATGAAAACCAAAGGATAAGCCACAAAGTTAAGAACCGAAAAGAAACCAAAACCAAACCAAAGTCTTAAACAAAGTCTTAAAAACTGTGGAAAAACAAGAGATAACAAAACGGACGAAATACCGAAACAAAAGAAGGAAAACTAAAAGAGAAGTAAGGAAATCTCCCAGTAAATAAGAGAAAGGGCAAGTCGCACCTACTTATATATATAGTATATATCTATATTAGCTCTGGCTTTAACTAAACTAACGAAACAAGTTTAAAGGAAACAAGTTTGTTGTTGTCTTCTTTTTCTATACATATGTTTATATATATATATATATTCTAAAATATATATAGTATATTTTCGTTGTTGCTGTTTTTTTTTTTTTTGCCCTTCTTTTCTACCAAGAATTATATATAAAACTCAATTAAGAACCTGACTAGCTTTCGTAATGAGAGGAATAACGATAGTAGCGTAGAGAGGAGCGAGTAACGATAGACGAGCCGATAAACGATAAACGAGAACAAAAAACTAACGTTAGCTATAGCAAATCTACTAAAGTGAACAATTTTAATTGAACTTTTGTAACATACTAAAGGTAATTCACATTAGCTGGTAAAAAATATAAAAAAGCAAAAGGAACGGAACAAACTACAAGCTCCAGATAGAAAATAGATTAGAAACGAAACGAAATGGAACGATGGGAGGAGCTAGGAAGCGCTAGGCAACGCATGGAAACGAAACGATAAATAAACAAGAAGCGAATTGAATTGAAATAAATATATATTATGGACATTGATTGCAAATGAGAGTGTAGAGCAAACCTAGTGTGTAGGCATACATAATTGCAGAAGTGGCCGAGCTACGTAAAGATTTTCTAAAGATTCTAAAAGGAACATTATATATACATACTATATATACTTACTATAAAGTATTAAGTGAGAGAGCATCGAAGTTATTTAAAGAAAACCAAGAGAAAAATATGAGAAAAACGTTTAGGTAAAACGTTTAGGCAACCTTCTAACGCTTTGTTAGGACTCCACGGAGGGCAAAAGATCAAGAGATATACAACTGAATTCCCCGTATCGTGCTCCCAAAATCCCATTCCCAAAGTTCCCCCTCAGTAGGACCAAAAAAAAAAAAATAATTAAATAAAAATAAAAAGAACAAAACAATTATATAGAACTCTATAATTAATAATCTTTGGTAGGACTCTGCAGACTCTGCAATTATACAGAAACCAGGGCCAGAAAAAAAGGATCAAAATTGTATAATGTATAGATTATATATAGCCATAGAATGCAGTCCACATAAGCCAACAACAACAACAACAACTACAAATTGTATTCAAGTTTTGCAAATGATTTCCCCACTTCCCCTAATTCCAAAACCAAAATTCCTTTAAGGCTCAACTTTAATCCTGCAAAAGATAACCCCCAACTGTCTGATAGGTCTTAACCCATATACAAGAGAGTACCAGACGTGGACAAAAAGCAGAATTAGAAGAGCAAACAAAGCAAAGGGGAAAAGAGTTAAAGGAGAAAACCAAGGAAAAAAAAAAACAAAACAACTAAATCGAAACCCTTAAAAAAATGTGTGTATACCTATTTATAATATTGAATATTTAAATTGAAATGAACGTTCAAGACTGCTGTCAAAATAGCTTTATCACAATAAATAACAAAAGATCTACACAAAAGACACACCAAACAGAACAAAACAGAACATGATATAACAGAATATAACAGAAGAAAACATTCTAAAAAAAACAGTATAAACAAAACAAAACACATCAAAACAGATAACCGGATATCCGGTTATCGGACAAGTTATCGGCATACCCATACACACACACACACACACACACACACACACACACCGATAGATACCACGATATGATGGAATGCGCCCAGCTTTAACGTTGTCTTAATGCATATTTGGGTTTCAACTCTACAAAAAACACTCCTTTAATATATACTAAAAACAAAAGCGAGTTCTTGTACCAAGCGATCGAAAATATTCGGAAATTGAAAATAACTGGTACATCGAATCGGTATCGAATTCCCATTTGAACTGGTTTCCTTAACAAAACATTTAAAACACGAGATAAAAACGAGACAAACAAGCATAACTTTGATATGAGGGACCGAATTTCCAAAGACAGGTCTTTATTATACAAAATACCGAAAAACCAAAGCAAGAGAGAGAATTCCTAAAATTAAAAAAAAGAAAAATAAATATATAAAAATTAATTCAAGAAATTTAACTCTTAAAACAAACAAACAAACAATTTATAATACCGAAGATTTTTAGCCGCCTTTGAGCTGGGATACCGAAAACAAACTTAACAAATATACCTAAAACATAAAAATAATGCAAAAACAGATACAGATACAGATACAATGCAGATACAGATACAATGCAGAAACAGATACAGATACAGATACAGATACAGATACAGATACAGATACAGATACAGATACAGATACAGATACAGATACAGATACAGATACAGATACAGATACAGATACAGATACAGATACAGATACAGATACAGATACAGATACAGATACAGATACAGATACAGATACAGATACAGATACAGATACAGATACAGATACAGATACAGATACAGATACAGATACAGATACAGATACAGATACAGATACAGATACAGATACAGATACAGATACAGATACAGATACAGATACAGATACAGATACAGATACAGATACAGATACAGATACAGATACAGATACAGATACAGATACAGATACAGATACACATACAGATACAGATACAGATACAGATACAGATACAGATACAGATACAGATACAGATACAGATACAGATACAGATACAGATACAGATACAGATACAGATACAGATACAGATACAGATACAGATACAGATACAGATACACCTGCAGATACAGATACAAACAGTTGAAGGCTGGTAGCGCACAAAGTTCTTGTTTGATCTTAGGCCCAATAGTCCTGTCCCGTCACCTAGCACCTCGTTTATATACTGTGTGGCTTCCCACTTTGTGTTCTCTCTCTGTAAGCCAGAATCAAATCCAAATCCAAACTATTCGAAAAACCTACCATATACATATACATACATATATATTCTTTTCTCCAGCGAATCGTAGGGCTCAAGGGGTACTTCGAGAAACACTTCTAGAGAGAAACTGAAAAGCCAGAGAGAATTGGAGAACCGAGAACCGAGAACCGAGAACCGAGAACCGAGAAAGCCAGAGAACTCACTCCAATAGAGACACAGGTCCTTTCCCCTCCCCCCTCCCCTCTTAAAATAAATCCCAGAAAAGCTAAAAGGAAAAAAGGGAAGGACATGCAGAACATATAAGATTGCATATACCATATATAGCTAGAGATGTCTAGAGCTATACCGACACACCACAAGTATATATATATACATACAAACATGTACAGACGGTCTATAAGGAAACCCAAACCCACACTAATAAGATCGTATTTGACTTTATATGTATTATAGTAACGTATTCAGTAGCTAAATCGAGAGCCGAAGCAAAGACCAATTTATTAACAAAAAGTAAAAAAAAAAAACAAATAAGAGAAACCAATTATTATGTTAAACTAAACATTAAATGCGTAAGAGGAGCGCAGGCCGAAGGGAAGAAACAATTTTTTATAGAGAAAAAAAAATAAGAAAACTAGAAAAACAGAGAAAAGCGAACTAAACTAGAATGCATTGCATGAGTTAAACCAAAAAAAAAATGAGAAGAAAAACTTAAAAACAAACCCAAAAACCTAAATCTAACTAAAGCTAAACGGATGTCAACTTAAACTAAACTTAAATTAAAATTTAAATGCTAAAAAGGAAGTAATCTAAATTAAAACCAAGCAAGGATCTAATTTCTAAAAGAAATAAACTAACAAAGATAAAAGTCATAAACAGAACAAACAAACAAATTCAGTGGCTAATGAAATAGTTTATTTTGAATTTACTGTATTGTATATTTAAATTTAAAATGGAAAAAAAGAACCCAAAAAACAAAACTAAAAAAAATATATTGTTATATCTTATCGAGAGGAACCGTGTTTTTTGCAAAAGCTTTAATATTTAGGGTGCCTACATTTGCTAAATTAGTATATTACGATTAAAAAAACAAAAAAGAAGATGAAAACACTCAAAAAACCAAAACAAAACCTAAAAACTTAAAACAAAACCGAACAACTACATACACGAAAAATAGAAAAAAACGAAACAGCAAGCAAAGGATTTAGAAAACCAAAGGAAGGGAAAACCATGGAAAATCCAAGTGAAAAACGTTCCTTGAACCCGAAAATAGTTTGGAAAATAAGCTAGGAAATAATCCTAGAAAAAATTCGATTCGCAATGATTTCAAAATAAAACCGAAAAAACAGCTAAAGCAAATATTGTATTGGTATTTGAGATATGAATTTTAAGAATGTTTATTAGACTTACGATTTGTTATTTTGTATACATATATATATGTATATATATATACTATATATTATATGTATTATGTATGGACGACGATTGTAATTGTTTTTTTTTTTTTCTCATTAAGCATTTACCTCATAAGAATTCCCCCTATTTATAGCAAATTTACCATAAAAATTACATAAAATCAATTGCTGTACTGTTATAATGTACAACCGAAGGATAGAACAGATAGAGGTTAGCAGAGGATAGAGGATAGAGGGTAGAAGAGAAGAACTCATAAAACTGTAAATTATTAATTAACGAAAACGGAAACCAAAAACAAAACCCAAAAGAGAATAATTGAAATTTTAACAATAATAAAGGGCTTTGTATGAAAGAAAAACAAACACAAAAACTGAATAAAAATAAAATAAAAGTAAAAAAATTAAATTAACAAGCTTTTAATTATATTATTTAAAGGATGAAACGAAAGGGTAAGAAGCTTAGTGGCGAACGAGAGAGTTTATTTCGCTCTCTTGACTCTCTTTCCCCTTATTCTTTGCACCCAAATTAAAAGAAAAAGAGTACAGGCAACTTTGATAACAATAATTCTCTCCGTAGCGATCGAGAGAGAGAGAGATCGCATTCTTGACTCTCTTTCCCTTTATTCTTTTTAAAGGATGGAACGAAAGGGTAAGAAGCTTAGTAGATTCTCTCAGTAGCGAATGAGAGAGTGAGAGATCGCTTTCTTGACTCTCTTTCCCTTTATTCTTTGCAGTCAACTTTGATAACAATAATTTATTTATTTCTCCTCAATACTATCACATTTGAATATATAAACTTTGTACATGGAATAACAAAAACAAAAAAAAACTGCATGTATTCGGTCGAAGGATTTGCTTCGCTTTTGGTGATGGCTTCATGGAGACTGACTGTATGGCGTATATAACTAACAGGCGGCGCTATGGTGATCGTAATCTCTGATATCCCCCCCAATGATGATATCCCCGTGGGTAATCCTCCCTTATTTAGTTGTTGCTGCCGCAGAAATGACCAATCTTCTGCCAGAAGTAACCCAGTTTCGAGGACTCCTTCTGAGCGGCTCTCTCGGCGGCCTTCTGATTCTTAAATATCTGCCATTCGCGCTTAACATCGGCATTAGCGGGACCCCAACGCTCGTTGGGCTTCAGAGAGGCCTTCAAAGACTGAAAAATGAGTTTATAATAATTAGAATATTTATAATTAATATAAAATCGATCATCTTACCTGCCAGACACTGCCCTCTCTGTGACGGGAGATATACCAAATGCCCCACAACGGAAACTGGGCAGCTCCTATGCCAAACAGCAGCCAGCCAGCCACTGCAAATATAATAATAAAATAATATTTAATATACTATTAAATTACAGTATATATATATATATATATATATTCGCACCATTTGCGGCCTCTGGGAAATATAGCTCGCTGTATTTAATCGGCTCAATGGTGGCCATGGAGTATATGAATATGATAATCATCATGACGGGCGTGAAGAAGGACCAGCACATTCGCCAGTACAGAGAGACGCGGCGATTGCACATGAACTCGATATCATCACAGAAATTCTGCAGGCCTAAGGGACATAAATATGGATTTTTTAATTATTTATGTATATTTATAATTTTTTAGATAAAAAGCTGACTGTACTCACCGTAAACCCACATAATGCCAGCCAACTCGAAAATGGCCAAAATGAAGACCACATAGGTGCCGCCATAGAAATCCACCAGAGTAAGGATCCACTGACCGCCCTGAAAGTAAAAAAAGTTAATAATTAACCAATAAATAAATATTTACAAATAGAAAAAAAAAACAAGTAAGGACAAAATGAACATGTTCATCTGTAGTTCACTTCCTTAAATGTACATGTTCATTTTAAAGTAAAAAGCTCTCTTAATCTAGACCTTCTTTTCAGATCCTTACCGGCGTCACATAGACCAATCCCATGAGGAAACCACAGATAGAGGTGGTCAACGCCACCTTCCAGTATTTCCAGCCCTTGAACTGATCACAAATGATGGTAACAATGGTGCTCTGCAAGGCCACAATCGATCCGATGCCCAAAACAAATAGCATGAAGAAGAACAAAACAGAGAAGAGCTGCGGCACTGCCTGAAACTTAGAAATGGCATCCGGATACGAAATAAAAGCCAACCCAGTGCCACTGCGCACCACATCCTGGATATTATCGATCTGCAGGTTGTGCGCCAAGTTACCCAAAATAGCGAATATCGTAATGCCGCCCAGCAGACTCGTCAGCGTGTCCAACGTAGTCACGATCATAGCATCGCGATAGATGCCATGATCGAAGCGATTGTATGAGGCAAACATGATGATGGGCCCGGAGCCCACAGCCAGGGAGAAGAAGCACTGGACAACTGCATTCTTCCAAACGGTGGGGTTCAACAGCTCGCCCCATTGCGGCTCCAAGAAGAAAATGATGCCATCCTTGGCACCCTCCAGTGTGACGGCACGAATAAGCAGGACAAAGAGCACCACGTAGGGGAACAGGGCCAGAAAGTAAGCCGCCTTGCCGGAGCTCTTAACGCCGCGCATAATCACCAAGAAGATGACCACCCAGGCGACAAGCAGAGCCAGGGTAAGCTTCCAGTCGGGGTTGCCAATGCCGTCCGATATGTCCAGCTTCTCCTTGATCACCACGTTGCTGCAGAAAATCAAAGTGAATATATAAAATAAAATTAGGAATTGGTAAATTAGTAATGAACGTAAAGTGAAAACTGAAATGAACAAGTTCATTTTAAAATTGCTAAAGTGAAGTTCACTAGGAAGTAAACAACTCTTTATTATAATAATGACTGACTTTTTACTAATTTATTATTTTTTAGATAAATTACAAATATAAAATTAATGAACGAAAATGAAAGACTGAAATGAACATGTTCATTTTTTGATCGCTAAAGTTCACTCAGAAGTAAACAACTATTTATAATAATATTTACCGACACCTTACAAATAGTGTTATTTTTTTTAATAAATTTATAATACTAATCAACTGAGAGCAAGAAGCTGATAAAACTAACATTTAAAAAGAACATGTTCATTATTGTAAATATTGACCAAAATCAGGGACTTTCTAGTATATATTTGAGCCAGTTAAACAATCGTAATAACATTTTTTTTGTTTATCAGAAACACGACAGAACTCCCTTGAGTTTATTTATTGCATTTAGCACTTAAATAGCAAAACAGAATGACAGCATCAATTAGTGCAATTAGATCTAGTCTGTAATGCTGTGCCATATAGTAAAGATATATACATATATAATATATATATTTTTTAATGTTACTTACAGAAAGTAAATTTCCGAGCTACTCTGCAGCTTGGTGGTATTGCTGGCTAACGTGGCATTGGCCGCTGAAATGCCAGTGCTGAGCAAGTTCTCCACATACTCAGCCGGCCGGGAGTCAACACAGTTGGCCCACTCATCCCGGCAGTAGGACCAAGGCAGCTCCGATTGAAAGGACACAAAGAGGTAGTAAAGGGTGAGGGCCAGCAGCGAGGAATAGTACGAAATGATGCAAATGGTGCCAAAGGCCTGGCCATAGCCCACGCCCACAAAACCCGGCACCACAGACCAGATCTTCACCGTGCCCTGGCTGGTAAACTGGCCAATGATCATCTCCAGATAATACATGGGTTTGCCTAAAATATTTAATTAATCGAAATTATATTTAAATAATATTATTAAATTATGTTCAGGACTCTCTCTCACTTACCGATCAAAAACAGCACTATGATGTAGGGTATCAGGAAGGCGCCTCCTCCATTCTCGTAGGCGGTGAAAGGAAACCGCCAGACATTACCCAGACCCACGGATACGGATATGCAGGACATGAGAAATTCCAGGCCATTGCCCCAATTTGAGCGCTCGCCGGCCTTTTGCTTCTCCTCGTCTTTCTTCTGAGAAAAAGTATAAAGACACAAGTATAGCCTCAGAATTTGTTCGGTAAATATGTGCGATTGCGATTGCGATTCAGGGGGAAATACGAAATTTATGACAGCTCAAAACCAGACACATGACTAAATATTTGGGCATTCCATCATCACGAGCATGGGTTCTTGGATCCGTGGTTCTTGGACAAACACCATCCAAGAACCAATGTCAGATAACCCGCCAGCGGACTGATAATACCTTATGGCATATATTTATCTTAGTATGTCTTAGATTTTATGATGATGATTAGATTAAAATCCCTTTGAAGTGGCCTTTGCGGGACCCTGATATTATATAGCACGAAATTCCATATCATATCGATCAAAATATCGAATTTTGCACTGCAAATATTGTATTCAAAAAATAGTTTAAGATGCTTTGTTAATATCAATATAATATTTTTTAAATTTGTATATTAATCGAGAGAGTAATTATTTATCGTTCTTTTAGATAAATCGATAAATTTATGGAATAATTACAACAAATATTTTAGAACATTTTATTGAAGTTAAAATTATATTATTACTATTTGAGTTGCTTTCATATCACTAGAATTTCGATAAAATTTGTATATTAATCAAGAAAATAATTTATCGTTCTTCTAGACAAATCGATAAATTTGTTGAATAATTACAAGAAATATATTTGAAATTTAATTTAATTTCAGTGTTGAAATTATATTGTTTCCTTAATTAAATTCAATAACAAAACAGGCAAAAAAGTTTACTTACGTAGGCACTGCCAAATGCATTTTAGAATAAAGTGAATAATAGTGATTGAGCCCTAAGTAAAGGCATTTAATTCTATTAATACCTATTACGCATTGAGTATATATGCAAAAAACAACGATTCAACTTTGAGAAATCCCCCTAAAAAATATAGAAAATTCAGTCCACGATCTGAGCCGGTAATTACCTTTTATCGCGGTGTATTTACTATTTTCGCACGTTAATTAGAGAATTAAATTCAGACTAATGACTAACTAATTGAATATTTAAATGCACAAAATGTACAAATACAAGCAAAACTCAAAAGTTGCCAATTAAAAACAGCTGTTGCCCCGAAAAGCTTCAATAATAATTCACATTTTAAACCGCAAAACAAAAAGCTAATATGTTTTTGTTTTACATTTTATTACTGCCTGAGACAAAGCAATCATGTTTCTAATTAATTTTTAGACTAGGTTGTAATTAGAATAGGTTGTAAATTACCGTTGAAACGGCGTTATTTATTGCCATTATATATATATTTTTATTAACAATGTTATTAAACTTTTATTTGTTTAAATCTATTTTAGGTTTTTTATTAGCTTAACCAGCGAGCAGCTGGGAAATGGCTTTTATCGGAGCAAGAAGCACGAAGCACGATCAGAGGAACTCTGTTTTGCCGCCACATATTTGTGGTAAAAAGCTGTTTAAATAAAACAATAACTCAGCTGGTGGAAAGAAGCTAAATGAAAACGAAACTGCAGCCACATATCTCTATATGTAGTATCTATCTCTACTAGCTGTAGGTGTATCTGTATCTCTAGCTGTATGTGTATCTATTTGCTTATTCATTTGTCAATGGCAATATATACAACTTTCGGTTACTCCAACTTGTAGTGGCCCTACAAATGGGTTTTTTATGTATTCAATTGAATATTTGTTGTATTTTTTTTAAGCTGGGAATTACCTTAGCTAGGCTATAAATTCAATTAAAGTTATGCTAACCGCAATTTAAGACAGCTTTGTAAGCTGGGAACCTCCAGGGGGAAGCCCATTATTATTTTAATGAAACCATTCTGTTAATAATAGTTGTAAATAAATGCAATCAAGTGAAGATGGGAAAGAGTCTATTACAGGGATTATATATTTTAAATATATATATATTCCCATTGAAAAGTTCCAGGAATTAATAGGAGAAAAGAAGAATTCCAAACCCAGTACCTAGATGATCCAATAACTTATCTCCCTATCTCCCCCTTATTATTTATTGCAATTTCTAGGAAATTTTGTAACCAAGATGAAAGAGAACCTGTCACTCCATAAAAGGCACACCACTCACAGTCCCTCAATTTGTCTCATTTTTATGGCTCTAGAAACTGGTTTCTATTTCCAGCTCTTCAATACTATACTATATAGAACTATATAGTTCTACGACTAGACTGAGAGAGTGAGTGGGGTTTATAGTTATAGTTTCGTAGCTCAGGTTGGCCAGATAACTAAAGGTTTTTTACGGGCATTATGGTACGTATGTACGTCATTTCGTAGAATAAGTACTAAGATATTTATGTGGCGCTGAGGGGGATCGTAAAGCGTATAAGAGATATGCATATAATATCCGCCTGACACAGGTATATATGTATATATATACTATATATACTTTTTTTTATATTTTTTGTGGTGGCCAGTAAATCGCATTTCGTTTGTCGGTCGATTAGCCTGCAATTAAAGTCCAAACAGCCCTAATGATCATAACCATGATCATAAAGTCATTAAATTAAAAACAAAAAGTTAAAAAAAAAACGAGAGAGAGAGAGAGAGAGGGAGAGGGAGAGGGAGAAAAGGTGGCCGGTACTAGGGGAAAATAATGACTAAGCCTGGTTTTATTATTTTTTCAAGTTTATTTAGGCTTTTTTGTTGCCTACATTGCGTATACTTAATGCGTATACTTGATATAGAGATTGTTTCGCACGTCTCCTAATCGCCAGTACACTTGAGTTCTGTAGTGGCCATTAATCTAAGCCATTAAGGTGTATTAACAGTTAACTGATTTGTTTTTAATTGTTAACTTGTTTTCTTTTTTTTCCATTATTTTTTAGGCTAACTTACCTCCGCCGCTGGCGCCGTTCCATTGCCGCTCGCTGCCTTCATTTCCATCTTGACTCGACTTGAACTTGACTGTTATTATTACTATTATTATTATTATAATTAATAATTAATAATTAATTTTCATTAGTTTTAATTTGTAATTGCACTGGCTGGGGTAATTAGCTCATTGCATTGACCAGCTCTCCGGTTATGGTTATGCTTGGCTTAATAAGCGCTTAACTGTTCGGTTGCTGATGAGGATTCTGGACTGCGGAGGCGCGCTTGTGGTGCCGTGAATGCCGCGGCTGGAACTGAGAATGCTCGAAGCGCTGGGCGCTTTAAGAACCGCCAAAGTACAACTACGAGCGGCAGGTAATAAGCGTGAAATTATTCACACACAGGCACAGCAGGTATACACCTGTACTGAGGCACTTTGGCTGGGAAAAACTTTGGTGGCGTGCTCTTCATGCGATAGCGCAGATCGTGGTAGATTGACAATTTATCGTAAAACAGGAAAAAATTTGTGAAGAATTCCAAGTATTAAATACCAAGTTGTCCAAAAAAATTTTAATTTTAATTTCATTTTTTATATTTAATTTAAATATTTATTCATAATTTTATTTGAAAATTTTAGGACATAGTAAAACCATAACTCGGCGAAAAATGCATTAATTTAAATTCGGAAAGCTGTTCTGAGTATGTCTTTATAAGGTTAATAAATCTGCATACTGGATTTTAATTTGTAAAAAATTAAAATTTTTAATGATGTAACCTCTTATAAAATTTTGATAAAATTAAAAAAAAATGTCTTGCAGACATGTCTCAAACGATTCAGCTTTCGATGCTGATCAAGAATATATATGATTTATGGGGTCGGAAATGACTCTTTAACTAATTTGCAAGCTTCTAACTGAAATTATAATACCCTGAACGAAGTATTAAAATTTAAATAAAAACATTATTTGGGAAAATTAAAGCTTAAACATTTTATTTATAGGTGGAAAATGTATTTATAAAACTTTATAATATTTCATAAGTAATAAATCAAGATTTTTAAGGTGAATTTGAGCAATCAAACAGAGAAACGCTTCCAAGAAGAGCTTAAAAATCCATCTTTTTGCCTCTTTAAATCTATAATTATATATTTTAATAAAAATAATATAACTTGGTCTTAAAATCGTTAAATAAATAAATATAAATATATAAATTATATACGAATCACGAGAACTTGTGTTTTTTTTTAATGAAAAGGAAAGTAGAATGGAACCCTCTTCCTCTTAGATCGCTGATAACGCTGCAGATTCTAAGATATAGTATAGATATATGTGTATCTATAGTACTTACTTCCTAGATAAGTACTGCAGCAAGATACCCGGTCTCCACTGTCCGGCTCCAAGTGGAAAATCACTCTTTTTTCTAAGATAAAAAAGAAAAAACCGGCTGGCTCCTACACACCCTAAATGCTGGTCAGCAGGCCGGGCAGTAAATACCTGCCGATATAGACGGACCCGCAGACGCAGACACCGTAAAATAAAGGTAAAAACACTTAACCAACTTATCCGAAACCGGCGGTGGGTGACTGGACACTTTCCGATATAGATTAGCCCGGCGGAGTGACCAACCGAAAAGAGCGAGAAATAAACACAGTCTGAGAACTGCAGACATGGCCCATTGGGAACATCGATAATCGATCGGCGTGGCAGCCACTATAGATTCCGGGAGAAGTCTGCTGGTCGATTGTGGTCAATGAAAGTTTTACGAGGCCTTCGCCACGAGAATGTCCGGACCTGACCGGTTCCCCCCCAAATGAAATCGAATCTTGTGGACTCTGAAGCAGGGTTTCCAGCACCTTGGCCGATATCGTAATCGCAATCATAATCGCCGATTTATATCTATATATCATCATATATTGCGTAGCGCCGGACCCAGCCAGGTTCCTTTTGAATCATGCGAATCCAATCGATGAAGTCCATATATATGTAGGTTCCAGTTATTGGGGGATCACAAACCATATCGTAGTAGGACGATGACTTCAGCTTCCTTATCGAGCGTCATAACGTCAACCCCTCCGAGTATTTGGATAAGGACAACGAACGGTTAAGTAAATGCCAATGCCCCTTTCTGGGTCTTTAAACAACTATAGTTCTGGGTATTCCCATTTGCCATTGATGAATTTTATATTATTATTTACCTTAAAGGTTGGTTGAAGGGAATCGAAATAATCTCCAAGTTGTTAACAAATAAATACATTTAGAAAGACTGTGTTTGTTGTTAAATTGCTCTTATTGTAAAAATATTTTTGTAGGCAAAAACAAGGCAGAAATCTAGACATTTTCAGTACTAATCCAGCAATTCCTGGATTTCATGTAACAGGAGAACAGAAGCAGCAGAACGTGGATTTAATTTCGTGAAAACGATTATTTTCACTCAAATTACGATATTCCTCATAGCTGCTCGTCAGCTACGGTCTTCGTTTGTTCTCCAGTTAAGGTCTTCGCTCTCGTGCTCTTTGTTCGCCAATTACGGCCTTCGGGGAATTAGAGAACCGAAATGAGTGCAAACCATTATTTTTACTCAAATTCAAGAATTCTACTCATTGCACAGATCAGCTTGTTGACTCTTTCAGATCAACGAATTAAGTAACTCAAAGACCCAATGAAACAGAACAACTGTTGTTGTTGTAAAATGTTTTTATTGTAAAAATATTGTTTTTATTGTTGTAGCAATGAAACGGATTCAATTTGGTCATTTTCAGTACAAATTCATACATTTCTGGGAGTCAAGTAACAGGCGAACAGAATCAGCAGGAGGTGGATTTACATTGGTGCAAATCAATATTTTCACTCAATGTTAATACTTCCACTCATTGTTTTCACTCTTCGCCACAGATCAGCTCATCTGAGCTTTCGGCCTCTGTGTTCGAACGTTGTTCGAAACGGAAAGAGAGAGCATGAGAGCAGCGGTTACCATAACTCATTGACTCAATGGCTCTTCAGGAGCAACGATTAAAACAACTCAAATTACCGTATTGCTCAGAGGTGCCATTAGCTTCGGTCTTCGCTCTCAGGCTCTATGCTCGCCAGTTACGATCTTTTGGAAATCAAAGAGCAGAGATGAGTGCAAGGCAAAAGTCACACTCAACGACGATAGCACTCGGATCAGCGCATCAGCTCGCATTCACTCTTTTGATGTTTGTTTCCAAGTTACTCAAAATTGAGAATATAGCAATTTATTCTATAATTTTCAGGGAATTATGAACATGCATGTTTTTGTTGTAAAACTGTGTTGTTGTACAACAGTTTTGTTGTTGCTGTAGCCAAAAACCCAACTTCAATTTGTACATTTTCAGTACAAATTCATTAACTGCTGGGAGCCAAGTACCAGGCGAACAGAATCAGCAGAAGGTGGATTTATGTTAGTGCAAACGAATTTTTCACTCAAACTACGATATTTTTCTGGGCTGCACAGCTCAGATACGGTATTCGCAAGTAATGGGTTGCACTCATCTTTACTCTTTAACTTGCGTAAGACCGTAACTGGCGAACACAGAGCAGGAGAGCGAAGGTCAGCACTCGCAGCGGAATCATAATTAAGAGAATAAATAACGTGCTCTTAACTTTGCTGCTTAATTCCCCGAAGATCGTAACTAACGAACAAAGAGAAGGAGAGCGAAGATGAGCTGATACGTAGCTCTGAGAGATATCGTTAATTTAGTAAAAATAATATCGTATTTTCAGTGAAAATAATATCGTATTTTGAGTGGAAATAATATCGTAATTTGAGTGAAAATATTCGTTTGCACTAACGTAAATCCACCTCCTGCTGATTCTGTTCGCCTGGTACTTGACTCCCAGAAATGTATAAATTTGTACTAACCTATAATTTATAAAAAAAATTTAAACCTCATAACTCGGCTAAAAATGCATGAAATTCTGAGTTGTTCTGAGTTGCCTTTTCTAAGCCTAACAAAACTGCATACTCAGTTTTGCTAAAATACTTACCTATAATTTATAAAAAATTTAATCAAAAATTGACGGAAAACCTCATAACTCGGCCAAAAATTCATGTACCTGTTACCTGTTACCTGTTACCTGTAATTTTTAAATAATTTTTTAAACAAAAATGAGCAAGAAACTCATTTTTAAAGGTTAATAATTCAGCCAAAAATTTTTAAAATTCATTTCGGAAAGCGGTTCCACAACAACCAACTTTACAACAACAATAAATTGACAAAAACAATGTTTTTTTTTAATTTTTTACGAAAAAAAAAAAGAAAAACAGGACAGCTGTGTACAATCTACTCGGCTGCCGGCGCAGCTTCGGCTGGGGCTTCGGCAGGCGCTGGCGCTGGAGCTGGTGCTGGGGCCGGGGCCGGGGCCGGGGCCTCGGCTGGAGCTGGTGGCGCTACTTCTGGCGCTGCTTCTGGGGCACCTGCTTCGGCCGCCACTTCCGGCTGCTTGTGGAGCTGCTGTTTCTGGTGCTTCTCCCTCGGCGGCTGAAAAAGCAACCAAACCCAGAATTCCAATATTCCCAAGACTCAAACACAACTGATTTACTTTTCAATAATGTTTTATTTTTTAATGTACTTGCATTATACTTAGATAATAACTAGATTTGTAAATTATTCTCACTTGAATGCGTCTATAAATTAAACCTTATTCGTAACTCTGTCTCGCGGCATTACTAGATAAGAAAAAAAAAAGTATATAGAAGTACCACACACACGAAGGACGAAAACTCTCTCTGGGGGGTCCACTAAGATTATTTGCTACTCTTGCAGCTGCTAGTTCTTTCTTGCTTTATCTTTATCGCTATGTCAGTTAATCATTATCAGTTAATCAGTTTATCAACAATTGTACAAGTGACAAGGCTACAATGAAATCGAGAGAATTAAATTAAATTAGATGTAATTTTAAGGTTGACTTTGAACTAGAATAAGGATAATATTTGTTTACATAATTAACCAATAATAAGTAGGGTTCCATAAACTAAATGGTAAATATTTTTATTTGCTTTTTTTTACTTTTTTATAACTTTTGTAACTTCGTCTCTTATTTCAAGTCTCGAAGGGGCGCATAGCTAAGAAGACATTAAAAGAATTTGCACTACAGTGTGGAAGGCAGCGGGAGGAGACCCTCCGAAAGGTTTGAATCACTTTTAAAAATTTACCAAATTAATGTCAATTAATTACAAAAGAAAAAAAAAACACTTGTTGCAATAATAATAATAATAATAGTGATAAAAAATAAAATAAAAATAAAAATAAAAATAAAAATAAAAATAATAATAATGATAATGACAATAATTAAGGTAAATAATAACACACGCCAAGTCTTTCAATCTGACAAATATATATAAAGTATATATAGTATTTAGATATCGATATATATGTGTGGATATATACAGATACATTTGCATAATCATCACTTGTACGTTTTTATTAACTAAATTATGCTTTATTTTCGACATGACAATGACGACAATGAGAACAATGACGACAACAACGACGAATTTATATCCAGCATATGTGGTTTCTCTCCTTGCTGCTGGATATCCTTTACATTCTACTTTCAATGCAGAATTAATTTTATTCTCTTCAACAAAATAAATATGTTTAACATGATTCCTTGTCGTATGCTGTGTATGCCGTGTGTGGTTGGTGTGTGTGTGCGGGGTTAGTGTGTTATTGATTATAGAGTGCTTTCTTTAGACCCAGAATTGGTAGCTCTGTAAGCGAGTGATTGCCTTACATTTAAATAGTTTACTCGATTCCTTGTTTCATTGCTTCAGTGATTAAAGATTTAAGGGTTTTGGGTTTAGGTTTTAAGTGACTTTTAAAAGAGTTTTCGAAAGCAAGGCATTTTAGAGGTGTTCTTCACTCCTTTTAACAGAGCTTCGTTTCTTTTTGCTCTTTACTATTATTATTTTTGCTTGCTATGGTTTATATTTACAATGGAGTTCTTAGGGGGTTTTTCAAACAGCTTTAAATTGTTATATTCCCAGGGTTCTCTAATTGTTCTTTCTTGACTAACAATGGCACACACGCATATACAAATTATATATTAACTTGCTTGTATTTTTGTATTTTTTCAGTTAAGTTTAGTTTAGGCATTCTGTGGCTTAGTGCGGCTGCTTCGTGTTTGCTTCTTTAGGGTACTGATGTGTTTGGTGTTTTGGTTTTGATGAGCTGCCTTCCCTTTCCTCTCTGCTTTCTGCTTTCTATTCGGACATATATATTCTTGTACTTGTCACGGTTTGAGTGCTTTCACTATGAATACGAATTTAAAAACAAAGAATTTCTTGCAAGGGGTATTTAAACGATACGTTTTTTAGACACTATCCTCATCAATTTGCGTCGATATACAATTTAAATGTATTTATATATAAAATGTATCTATAAAAAACCTCCTATAATATATATTTACAACCAAAATATCTTTAAAATTAAAGTAAACTGTTGGTTTTTTTTTTAGCTTTCCTATTTTATCTTGGCGTTTTCTTTACTATTTGTCAGCTTTTTTTGTTTTTTCTTTTTTGCTTCAACATTTGCCAAAAACAGATAATTGCCTTTGTTTTGCGCATTTTCTTTTGTTCTAATTTTTTTTTGCGTTTTTGTTAATTTTTTTCCTTGCTTGATATTGGTATGCTTTTTAGTCTAGTTTGTTTTTGTGTGTATTTCGTTTTTACTTGTTAAATTTATAAAAACTATTTACACTAGAGGTATTTATATGTATGTAATCTATGTACTTATAAACTGAGTATGGTAATATCTTAAGCGGTTCTCAATTTGCAGGCTTGCAGGCAGCTACCCTCACAGCTCAACTAGATCCGATCCGAACCGATCCCCTAGGGACGCCTCACCTAACCGAACTCCCACTCCTAGCTTACCTCCAATCCTGGGCCTAACACTTCACTCTGCCTGTGCCATGTTGTGTCTGTGTGTGTGTTTGGGATTAGTTGTTGGCTTGTTAGGTGTGCTGATCTTATACATATATATATGCGTGTGTGTGTGTGTGTTATATGATGTTATATATGATTATATAGGGGATGGGGATGCACTCTCTCTAGGCTCAGTCGCTTCCTACACAACTTAACGACACAATTTGGTAACTGGGATTCGCTTGCAAGCTATATATGCAAATATATGCTATTGTCTCAAGCTTTTGTATCCTCCAAGTTGCATGATTCCCTCTTCATGTTGTTTTTCTTGTTGTTGTAGTGTTTGAAGCATTCAGTTGTTGTTGTAATGTAGATTTTTGTTACTTAGCTTGCTTGGTTTGTTAGTCACGCATCTCCACCCACTTCGCGAGATTTCTGGCGACCAGTTCCTTATTGATAAAAATTACATTCTGTAAAAACAAGAAAATTTAATTAATAAAAGTTTATTTTTAGCAACGAAAAAAAGGAAGCTCACTCCAGGAAGCAAGGTTATTTTCAACAAAAAGTTTGCTTTAAAAAGCTAAAATTTGTATACATTTAACAAATAAATACAATAAGTTGACTAGTTTAAAAAATTTAAAAAATTGCATTAATTTTTTAGGACCCAAGATGCTTTTTTAATTTTACTCAAAATACAAAAAAATATACTACGGGTTAGTTTTCAACTTTTACTACCTATCCTGCTCTATTTCTCGCCCATTGCCATATGCCATCTCTCTCGAATCGATGTGGCTGTTGCTTGGCGATAAACATACATACATATATAAACAAAAATATCTGGACCATATCATATCGAAAATATAGAAAATTTATACGTAGCAAACACAATATCGATTGATTGCACCACTTTGTATATTCAAATATCGTTTGATATATCTACCCAGTATCAATATATCAGTTCTTTTTCCTGCCATATACTCACATTTGGGCCTAGGGATGCAAATAAATAGATTTCTGGTATGTTGTGACTATTGTAGCCGGCGACTTGTGCTTGCAAGACAATGCCTTTGGTAAGTTTGCTGAGGATCTCGGCCGCCTCTTGGGACCAGGCCGCATCTGTAGACAAAAGAATATATGTATATAAAACTTGATGGATATTAACTAGAAATCAAAACGAAAATCATACTCACCGATGGGCTCAATATTGGACAGGATGCACTCGGTGGCCTGGAAGGGCACACTCATAAAATCCGTGCGAATTTGACGCAGCGATGTGAAGCTCACGTTCATGTAGCCACCAAAGTCAAGGAACCTAACCAGACAGCGCTCCTCATCCTCCGCATCGGTGTCAACAATCTGGACACGATACCACACCCCATTGATGGCGATCACGCAGACAGCACTGATCTCGAGGCTGGGCAACTGTGGTGCCTCCATGGTGGAGTAGCTATCGTATAGCTGCTTCTGCAGCATCGGCAGCGAGGGATGCGAGGGATGCAGCGGATGCTGGACAAATATATGCGAGCCCGAGAGCACGGCACTCACCACCACATCATTGTTGATGCCCTCGATTAGTTTCAGTTGGAGGTTGTAGAGGCTTTCCGTGGAAAGAGGAACTATGGTCTGCGGCAGCGCAAAGTGAATGCGTTGCATGGTAAAGTTGGGATACCGCTTGGCCGGCAAACGTTGACGGATCATGGCCAAGGCGGCATCTATTTCGCTCTCCGTGCCCTCGATAGTGCAGATGCGCACCTTGCTCGAGTACGGATTCTTGCTGAGCGCCACACTGGCCAAAGTCTTGGCCTTGATCTGGTTAATGAACGCCCGCTTCCGTCCGTACAGCTGGCCAATTAGACTGATGGGGAAGAGGAACTCGTAGGTGGTCTTGGCCCGCGTCGCCTCCGAGCGGGGGAGGCTGGAACCCGTGCCCGAATCGCCTGACTGGACGCTGCAGATGCTCAGCGAGGGACTGGCCGCATCCACGTTGCGTTTCTTATTGCCATTGCTGTCCACTGTCTGCTCCGTCTGCTCTTTGGCAGCCTCTTTGGAATCCACCTTGGGCTCACAGTTATTGTTCTGCTCGCACTCCTTGGTATAGTTTGTCTCGAGGAATGAGTTCTCCGGCGATATCTTGGGTGTGCGCGTGGCCTTAATCACCACCGGTTCCACGGTCTTTTGGCTAGTCTTTCGGTTGTAAAACGAGGTTTTCACCGAACCCGGCAAATCCACAGGCGACGACAGATTCTCAAAGGCCTCGTCAATAGAGCAGAGTATCTTGTGCTCCGCATCCTGAATCTTTGACTTGAGCATCTCGGAATCAATAGAGGTCGAGCTGCGTCCATTGCTCTGGATCTTTATGGGAGCCGACTTGCCATACAGCATCGTGTTGGGACTATCGCTTCCGCTGGCACTGCCGCTGCCGATACTTCCATTACCGTTTCCATTTCCATTTCCGTTTCCGTTGGCTATGGTTCCATTGATGTTCATCGACTTGCTGGCCACTGGCTGTGGCTGCTTGCCATTCTGCAGGACACCGTTGACCTTGCGCTGCTCCACCGCTGCCGCATCCTTCACGGTAGACGTGTCCTCGTCATCGGGTTTGTCTAAACGATTTTTATTTCTACGACGAAACCAAAAGACGCCGAGTATAAATGCTACACCGGGCAGTGACAGGTAGAGTAGAGGACGACCGGATACCATTTTCGCTGAATATTGAAGAATCTGAAATAAGATGCGGTTTAGAATGTTAAATATATATAAATATATAAATTTGAAATGCATTTCAATACATTTTAATAGTTGATTTGTTAAATATAATTTCATTGAGATTGAGATTGAAACGCGAATCTTATCACGACAACAATTTACAGCCGCTCTACAAAGCGCGTTTACAATTATTTACAATTATTATTAAACAAAAAAGCTTGTCATGACAAGTGATAAGGGAAAAAGTAATGTTATTGTTTTTGGTTTATATAATTGAAGTTTGAATAGGAATTTGCGACAAAATACTTTGAATCTATAATAATAATATAAAAAGAAAAGGTTTCCATTGTTTTTATTTTTGGGAATCACGAGACGCACCGCGTGCCAGTGTGACATTCTCATATGTGTGTGTTTGCTTTTGTCGTTTTTCTTGTATTTTTCCTTTTCGATCTGAACTTTTGCGTATTAATAGTAACAAATAAAACGAAAGAAAAAAAAAACAATACACGTAAATATAGACAACAAAAATGTCGAGAGCAAATAAGGTGCAAAGAAGAGCGCGGAGGAGCCAAAGCAAAGCGGATTTTGAATGCCACGCGGAAGGGAAAAGGCACAGAAAGAAAGAGAATGAAGGAGAGGGACGAGCGCGATCGCCAAGAGCGACTGCGCAAGAACAACAACACGCTGGCAAGAAAGCGAAACAGAGCGAGTGGGAGAGAGAGCAAGCATAATAGTGCGAGAGTGCAAGAACAAACCGTTACGTTTACGGCAACGGCAAATGTTACGAAATCATTACAAAACAAAACTAAAAGTTATGAAAACACTTAGCAGCCAGCAATTTGTCACCTTTTTGGCCGTCGATCTGATCAATAGGTCTATATATCCGATATCACTAATGCAGTGTTCTGGTTCAAACTAGTTCGTTATTATTGTGAATAATTCGTTTAAATATTCGTCGTTTATGGCATTAGTTCGTAGGGCTTTATTCTTTGGAGTTTTTATGTCGTGTCCACTTTTGTTTTGTATTTCTTTTATTTTTATATTTTTCTTCTTTTTGTTTTAGTTTTTGGGAATTCAGTTTTTGAAATGCCGGCGAATTAGTTCGAGAGATTTAAGATATCGACTGCTCGATATACGAAGGGAAACTACTTTGCCCACCATCTAATTGCCATTTCTTTGGGCTCTTCGCAGCCCGCTTCGCTTCTCCTTTCTCCGCTCAACGCTCTCCCTCCTTCTCCTTCTTCTCATTTCGTTCACTCCATCGCCTGCCCCAGCTCCCGCCCCCCCCGGCGCACAAAAGAGAAGCTGTCGACGGATGCGTGGTCGCAAAAGTTTTTTTTAGCACCTCTACACCCACACAAACGCATATCTTTTACCGTTAAGTGCGGAACGCAGTGGAAAGATATCCGAACTCATTAGAACAAAAGAAATCCATCCCAATAAAATTGGAAAGGCGCTGCACATTTAAATTTTGTCAACATCTGTACAGTGGGACCAATTACATGCCATAACTTGTAATGGAGCAATGTGTAGTATTTTAAATATTTATAATCTCACGTATAAATTAATTTAAAAAATATGAATAATAAATATGTATACTACTTTTATATTAAAATCGATCACATGGTAAACTTCTATAATTTACACTCCACATTACCAATTTTTACGTTAACAGATTTCTAACCACTTTTGTGCACACCCTTGCCCACTGTAGGCAATGGCAATTCCCCCTTTCCCCCCCCACTCATTGATTTCGTCACTTTGTTAGCGGCCCAAAGGTCCTCGGCCACACTGTGGACAACCTGATAAGAGCAATCGCCAATCACGCCGAACTGAAAGCGCCAAACAACAAATAGCGAGATTGAGGCATATAAAGGGCTCCGTGGAAGGGCACTCGGCCAGACAGACTGCTTAGCTGCGGCATTTCCTAATCGTGAAACCGGGTGACGGGAATTTTTTATTTTCAACTTCTTCGTTTGGCTGTAAGCTTGTTTACACATGCATATTAATGGATGTGTGCGTGTGCGCTGGCATGCAAACAAACATGTTTCGGCATGTTTACTGCCGACTTTGAACTTGCGTATTGTTGTTGTTGCGCGGAGCTTGAGGCCCAAACCTCGGAACTCGAATTTTGAATTCCCTTCAAGCTTCCAAAGTTAGAGAGAGAAAGAAAACGAGCAAGAGAGCCAAGAAGAGATTAGTATTAATACGCACATACACACACACACACACACACACGATCGCGCATTCAAACAACAATAACCAGGTGCAACAACATTGCCAGCTAGCCGAAAAGTCCACATTGTTATAATCTTGGCAACGTGGTTTCCGATCATATGGTCGCCAAAAATGGGCGGGGATTGTATAATCGGTGGATATAGGATGTAGCATATGCACGGATATGTATAGACTTTGGCATATTCAGTGGGAGTGGCGGTGGCAACCTGCGTTTTACTCTCCTTTTTGTGCTCTACCTCCTTTTTGATTGATAACACGGCCGAAATTTAACGGTGAAAGCGGCAATAACATTTCGTTTTCCTGTGTGTGAGTCGCACACACACGCAGAATGAGAGGGAGAGAGAGACAGGCCTAGCATGCTTATGCATATTGTGAGGGAACAGTGAGCTCTCTTTAAAACTAAAAGAATTATTAAAAGAATGGCTTTTTGACAATCCTATAGAATTCCCAGAGTGCTGAAGATGTATGGTCCCAGTGCCAGAATTTATTTGCCCCAATTATTGCAGAATTATGAGTGAAACAGATAATTAAAATAGACAAATGCTACACTCGCCTCTGCGAGCAGCCTCTGTCTTGTCTTAATACATACATACATACATATGTGCGAGTGGCACATTGTGTAATCGTTCATTTTAACTCAAAATTTTCCACTTTGCCACCCACTGTCATTTTGCCGGAACAACAACAACAAAAGCGGGAAGCGGAGGATGCACTCAAACAAAAAGGGGGAAAAAGAGAGAGGAGGAATGCAAACGCAATGCGGAGTAACGGGAAGCAACTGTGGAGTGAATCCGGAAAATACCCAGCGCAGAACGAACCAACGAACACATGACACCATTTTTGACTCGATTCGATTCGTTCTGTTTTGGCAAGCACACACACACACACAGCTGAATGCTTTGTGCGCCTTTGTACTAGGTTATGTTCCGCGTGCTCCAATCTCTTACCTCTTGCAACCGCTTGGGTAACTTATTTTGCCGACTGTTTTCGCTTTGCGCCGCACTTGCGTGTTTGGTAAGTATTTGCTAGATGTTTTCACTGGTTTTTCAACGACCGAAACGGATCAAGAGTCTGCACGAATATTAAACACGTGTCGACGTCCACCTTTTACATATCATAATAACTTGGCCGGCGTATGCAGTGTTGCCATCCCTTCGCGATGCTCGCTATTGGGGATGCCGCCTGTCAGCAACGTTTCGATTCGCGGTCTCCAAATTGTTCAGTAGCACGCGTCACTTTTTTCATGCACAAGACGTTTTTAAATTACGCTCGAATTGTTTGTACAAACTCGAAAAACGTGTGTTTAGTTTGGCAATCGAATTGAATGGCAACACATGTCAGGGAGAGTTGCTGTGGTCGGTTTCGATAGGTGCGATAGGTTATCGCTAGCAACTCTAAAATGGCAACTGGTGGTGGGGCGTTGCCAATGCTATGGAGAACAGTGTTGGTAAATTCGCAAAACTAATCGATATGTATCCAGATTTCTCATACATACTTGCATTGCCATTTTAATTGAGGCGTAGATAAAACAATAACGAATGTGCTTGAATTTGAATTAAAAAATTGATTCAATGCACCTTGCGGTGTGCTGAAATTAATTTCATTTCAGTTTATCGGCGGCGTCTGGCAGCGCTGGCAGGTGTATTTTTATAATTGTATTAAATTTTTTTTTTGTTTTTGCTGAACAATGGCCATTTCATGAACAAAAATCAATTTGTAATTGTATATCTTTGCCATTTATATAATTGTAGTGTTAAACTATCGCTATGGTCTGCGATTAATCGATAGATATCCGGCCAAAGTATCATCGATGGTTTTTGACAGCTCCCTGCTGCAGCCACATTAATTTGTCTTTCTTTTACTTTTAACGTTTCCGGTGAGTGGCATGTGCTTGGCGAAATCTCCCGAAAAATTCGCTTCAGTAATCTAAATTGAGATATTCAATTCGATTTGGATTGTTAAACTTGCAACCGGGGTGTTTGTGCTTCTTTTGGCCACAATAAAAGCACAAAAGCGAACCGGACAGTGTACCAATTGTGCGTTTATTTATTTTGATTTTTTTTTTTTGTTCTGTATCCGCAGTAACAATGGCAGTCCGCTACGAGCTGTGCATTGGTCTGAACAAGGGCCACAAGACCACCAAGGTTAAGAATGTTAAGTACACGGGTGACAAGAAGGTGAAGGGTCTGCGCGGATCCCGTTTGAAGAACGTGAGTACCAAGGGGACGTCGTCGCCGGCATTTGTTTACATGTCTTTTTTTTTCGCAACGCAGATCCAAACCCGCCACACCAAGTTCATGAGGGATCTGGTGCGCGAGGTGGTGGGCCATGCCCCCTACGAGAAGCGCACCATGGAGTTGCTGAAGGTGTCCAAGGACAAGCGCGCCCTCAAGTTCCTGAAGCGCCGCCTGGGCACACACATCCGTGCCAAGAGGAAGCGTGAGGAGCTGTCCAACATCCTCACCCAGCTGAGGAAGGCCCAGACCCACGCCAAGTAAGCAGACAGCGTCGCTGCACGGAGAAGGAGGAGGAACTCTACGGATTGCGCCGACACTGCTGCTACTCCTGTGTGTTTCTTCCTTTTTTTTTTCGTTTGCGGTGTGAAACTGAACATACAAAACTTATGTCGTCGTTACTTGGGAGCGAGTCTCAGCATCCCACAATTAAAACCTAAAAACACATTTAAAAACCGTACAAACCACGCTTGTGTTTATATTTTTTTCAAGTGTCGAGGAGGCTAACCTCACAAATGGCCAAAAATGCAAAAAACAAGAAGAAACTGTGAATGTAGCAATGCACTGGCAGAAAGCAAACTAGGAAGGACTTTATAAGCCAAGATTTAACCCTTTTACTTAAAAGGAAATGTTTAGTAGAGGGAGAGACAACCTAACTGGAGTAATCTAATGACTAAATTATTTGAGAATGATTGAAAAATGTTTTACTTGCTTCAGATTTATCAGAAAGTAATATCTGCCTAGGAGTGTTATTTTTATTCAAATTTAACAAGTAACTCAATTTAAAAATGTACCTTGGGGTTGATAACTTGCTTTTCTATGGAATTTTAAAGTAATGTCTGAAATTGAGATAAATCCTGACCTCAAGCGTTTGGCAATTGAGATGTAGGTTTAACTAACTATTCCCAAATATATATTTAAAGAAGTATCAAAATATGATTCTGTATAAAAATTTGCTTGATATTTTGTGTATTGGACTTTTTGCTGTCGATTCTTACTACTTTCTACATTCAAAGCTTAAACACGACTTAAAAATGCACTAATTTCAATACGGAAAACAGTTTTTAGTTATATTTCAAAAGGTTAACTAATTTGCATGCTACATTTAATTTAAATAATTATTATCCATAATTTTATATGCTAATTTTTGGAAAACGTAAAACCTAAAAATATCATAACTCGGTCAAAAATCCAATAATTTCAATTCGGAAAGCTGCTCTGAGTTAGTTTTTATGATGTTTATAAATCTGCATACTTTATTTAGAATTTTAAAAAATTCAAAATTTTGTTGATTTTTTTAAATTTTAACGATGTAACCCCTTATCAAATTTTTGAAAAAAAAAAAAAATGGCTAAAAATTTGTTTTCCTTCGGATATGTCTAGAACGAATTGCCTGTTGATGCTGATCAAGAATATATATGGTTTATGGGGTCGGAAATGACTCCCTTCAGTGCATTACTAGCTCGTGACTAAAATTATAATACCATGACAGGGATATTAGATTTTAAATATTTATTCATCATTTTCTTTAATATTTTTTGGGAAAAGTAAAACTTAAAAATGTATTAAAATTAAATCGGCCAAAAAGGATTTAATTGCAATTCGGTAATCTGCATTGAGTTAGTTTATATAGGGTTAATAAGTCTGCATTTTTTATTTACATTTCTTAAAAATTAACATTTCTGTCAAATTTTAATAATTATAATTTTAAATTTAAATTAAATTAAAATTGAATTATTAATATTTATTTTTCTAGCTAGATTGACTCTGCTGTTGATTCCGATCCAGAATATATATGATTTATAAGGTCGGAAATGGTTCCTATAATGCGTTGCAAACTTCCGACTAAAAAATGCTGGCTTTCGGTTGGTTTCTTTAAACTTATATTAAAAACTAAAGTTGCTACTAGAAATTGTCAGGTTGCCTATAAACTAAATGTCAACGGAGATATGGGGAACACTCAAGAAGGGCGACATGCGGGGATATGCTTATCGTAAAATGTTACTTTACTTTATAATTTAATTTACTTTATGCCTAGCGAGCTAATGCTGGTTTGGGTGTCCAGGGTGTAGGGCACGAGTCCAGGGTAGGGCACGAGATCGATCAAAAGTGCTGTTGCTTGGCCACCATAATCACAGCTTCTCGGGCTCCGCGAGGCTTGGCAGCGAGATGACCACCTCGCCCATCAGCTGCGCCTCATTGGCATCATTTGAGACGATGATCCGCTCAAATTCCATGTTCGTGGGATCCACGATCTCAAAGCAGGAGCCAGTGCTGGGCTTGAGATCGATTTCCAGCGAGCGATTAACCTGCGGCGACAGGATCTGTTGGGTGACCTCCAGGCTCTCAATGCGCGTCGTCTCCAAGCGATAGAAACCGTTCTCGTCCACGCGGTACGTGAATCGCTTGTGGCCCGATGGCAGCCGGAAGCCGTGCTTCTTGATCAGGTGAGCGGAGAGGGATCTGCCGCTCTTGAAAAAGCGCTCGCAGCAGTGGCAGGCATACAGTATGGGATTGTTGCCATGGACCTCCAGAAAGTGCTAGGGAAAGCAAGGAAAATTAAAATTAAAGTAAATATAAATTAAATCGAGGAATCATCATCGCCGCTTACCCTTCGCATCTGCGTGTAGGTGCGCACGGAGTAGTGGCAGTCTGGGTGCTCGCACTGATGCACCGACTTTGAGTGTACTATTTGGATGTGCTTGGCCAGGTCGGATTCGCGGACGCAGCGTGTGTCGCATTCGCTGCACTTGAGCGGCTTGTCCTTGAGGTGACGGTAGCGTATGTGGGTGGTGAGGGAGCTGGAGGAGCTGCAGGTCATGTCGCACATGGTGCACTTGTAGCAGTTGACATGGCGGACCACATGGCTCTTCAGCAGCTTCTTTGTGGCAAAGAACTTAAAGCACTGAGCGCACTGAAAGCTGTTGGCTATAAACAGATTTATTTGCAAAGATTAATAACAGATATTTAAGGTAGAATCTCCTGAAACACTTACTATTGTTCTCTGGCTGCCGGCGCAGGTGATCAAAGAGCGTGGTCTTGGTCCGGAAGAGCTCACCGCAGTGGTAGCAGGCCACCTGCTTCTTGTTTGAATGCGTGCTTATGTGCTCGATGAGGCGATACTTGTTGCCCATTTGCTTGTGGCACAGACTCCAGTTGCACTGCGTCTTGGGCCGCTCGTCGTCCGGCGTCTTCTGTATATCATACTCGAATAGCGCATGCTTCACAATGTGATCCTGGAACTCCACAATCGAGACGAACTCACGCTCGCAGTCCGTCCAACCGCAAAGGAAGTTCTGGCCGAGATGGGGCAATTTGTAGCGGGCGGGAGCCGTGCAGGCTGGTATCTCTGGATGCAGGTCACACTCCAGCTGACCCTGGAGCAGCAGGTGTAGGTAGTAGCCATGGTAGTACGAGTGACGTTCAAATTCCACCCGGCAGCTGCAACGAAAATCACAGTCGGTCCATCGGCAGCAGTGCTCCTCCGCCTCGGCCTCGGCCGCCTCGCGGGCATACTCCTCTAGGTGCTGGCCAATGTGGGTGTTCATGTTCCATTCACCCTCGCAAATATCCTGGCAACCGCTCCACCCACAAACTAGGAGCAGCTCCGCGGGCTTTTTCCGCTTGCCATTCGGGGCCAGTGGATGCGGCTGCGGGGGCTGGGCTGTCAACATGCTTAGCTGGGCGATGGCGTCGCCTTGAGGATCAGGATTAGAAGGAATTTCGGGCGGTTTCTCGAGAAAAGCAATGGTTGTTTGGTGGGAGCCCAAACTAGCGATGGCACTTGCGCCGGAGGCTTCGATAGCGCAACCAGACGCGTACGATAGTTATCGCAGACGATGGCGATAGTTGGAGACTTCGCAAGTCCTTTTTGTGGGATTCCATTTATTATTTATTAAAGTTCGATACTGTTAAGGGATATAACTACATAAAAAAACTATACTATGTAAGTATGAAAATATATATAATGTGGTTTTAATTTGTACTATTTTTTAGGGAATATATGCACATATGCTTCTGTTAAATCCTTTAATGAATAAATATATATAATATCTATTTTATGGTGATTTTTAAAATAATTAGCTAAACTTTTTAAGTGAAAAACCAATTTAGAAATATCATAACTCGACCAAAAATTGATTAATTTTAATTTAGAAAGTAGTTTTGAGTTAGTTTTGATAGGGTCAATAAATCTCATACTTCATTTAATTTAAATATTTATCCAAAATTTTATATAATAATATTTATGATAATTTCAGGACAAAGTAAAATTTAAAAATATCCTAACTCGGCCAAAAATGCATCTCCTGGTCAAGTTCCGCATCGCGGAGTATGTTGGGCGGACGGCCGCGTGAGGTATACCTGGCCGGCTGCCTGCTAGTGCTGTGGCGGCGCGTACGCTTCTCGATCTCCTCCGGGGATTCGAAATCCAACAGCTTCGATGACTTTTTGCGGACGCGTCCGCTGCGCGAGACGCCAGTGACCTGGAAGTCTAATTTGGAACGGATTAGGAGGAGCCTTCATCTGGTGTTTGTTATGGGCACTTACCTCTGGCCACCAAATTCGAGGTGGGCGATTCCATGTTGGGAGCCCGATATATATAATATCTATTTTATGGTGATTTTTAAATAATTAGCTAAACTTTTTAAGTGAAAAACCAATTTAGAAATATCATAACTCGACCAAAAATTGATTAATTTTAATTTAGAAAGTAGTTTTGAGTTAGTTTTGATAGGGTCAATAAATCTGCATACTTCATTTAATTTAAATATTTATCCAAAATTTTATATAATAATATTTATGATAATTTCAGGACAAAGTAAAATTTAAAAATATCCTAACTCGGCCAAAAATGCATTAATTTCAATTCGAAAAACTGTTCTGAGTTAGTTTTTATCATGCTAAGACGTCTGCATACTGGATTTAAAATTTTTTAAAATTCAATTTTTTTTGTGCATTTTTGTCAATTTTAATGATAAAATTTGGAAAAAATTGGTAAAGTTTTGTTTTTCTCCGGACATGTCTAGAAAGAATCGCCTGTTGATGCTGATCAAGAATATATATGGTTTATGGGGTCGAAAATGATTCCTTCAGTGCTTTGCAAGCTTCTGACTACAAATTTAATACCCTGCAAAGGTAAAATAAAATTAGAAAATAATAAAAAATTCCATTATTAAATAATTTTTTTCTAAAAATATTTAAATAAATTGTTTATTATTTATCAGATAATTAGAAACTTTCTTAATATAAAAAAAATATTACAGATTGCACCGGTACAAAAATTAATAAATAAATAAGGCAAATTTGATCTATTATATTATTTAAAACTGATAAAATATTTTCCCACAGAAAATGTACAAGCAAATGTCAAAATATTCCTCATATTGTAAAATATTTTTTTTATAATTACCCCCTGAAATGAAAAACAGCCTTTCCTTTAGAAAGAGAAACACTCGGCAGAGGAGCTCTTATGCAGTTCGGTTTACTTATTCAAGGTCGAGATACGAATAGCTTAGAAACTAGGGATACTTAGTGGGGGATGGGTGTAGGAGGGGTTGAACTTATAGCTAGCTTTCCCTCGGAAGCACAGCTGCCTGGAGGGGAAGAGCCCGTTCCATTCCCTCACAGTCCCGGCATCACGTAGGCTATGTTGTCCAGAGTGTTGGCAAGATTACGCGACAGCTGCGCCTTGTTCTCCAGCCCCGGGATCTGGGTGGTCATGCAGAGGAGCGGCCCCATCGAGCAGAGCAGGCTGTCCAGCAGGACTGAGAGGCTGCCCGAGAGGGCCACATGGCCGTTGTGCTTCTTCAGACGCTCCCCAATCACGGTGAGGCTCTCGCCGAGCAGCTTCAGGTGAGCCGCCGCATCGATTGCCTCGATGCTGGTGGGCTGCGGCGGGGCCTCCAGCTGCTGCGCTGCAGTCTTACTGCTGCTGCTGCCGCCCGCATCCGTTTCCAACTGAGCAGTACCGTTTCCCCGGCCGCTCCGTGTGCTAATGCTGCGCCTCTGCGTGGTAGATGCCGTTGCGGCCGCCGCCGCCGCTGCAGCGGATTCCAGCGAGGATTGGTGACGATCGGCGGCCAATTTTCGGGTGCGACTCGTCGTGGCCCGATTCTGGAAGATAGTCTCGTTGTGGATCGGCTCTTGGGCCGTGCTCCCATTGCTGGTGGGCTGCTGATGGGCGGGCGCCGTGCTGCTGCTATTCGGGCCGGTTCGCTCACGCGACCTGGCCCTGGTCGCCTGCACCTTGGCCTTGCGCCGCCAATTGTTCTTCTCCCTGTTCGATACGTTCGCCCACAGCTCGCTGAGGCGTCTGGTGGCGCTGGCAAAGTCTAAGCAAAAAGAGAGAGTAAGAGGATGCATTGAAAATTCTTTTTTGGTATTGCCTTACCCATATCTTGGAGGTCTCGCTTGCGCACATCCCTGGCCCACAGGCTGTAGGCTGTGTAGCGCTGTTTGCCTTTGTCCTTGCGTTGCACCTTGGCGGTGACCACCTTGCGCTTGTTGTTGGCCTTCTCGCGCATGTACAGGCTCTGGCGAACGGGGGACTCATTGTTGGTGGCCTCCGCCTGAACACCGTCCACCAGATCCTGCACTAGATTGTCCAGCTCGTCGTCGGAGTTGAGAATGACGGCGGCGGCAGCGGCAGCGGTGGGAGCCGGTCCCGGAGCCAGCGTACTTTCGTTCTCAGAGACGTTGTGGTCAAAGAGAAGCATCTCCTGGTCAAGTTCCGCATCGCGGAGTATGTTGGGCGGACGGCCGCGTGAGGTATACCTGGCCGGCTGCCTGCTAGTGCTGTGGCGGCGCGTACGCTTCTCGATCTCCTCCGGGGATTCGAAATCCAACAGCTTCGATGACTTTTTGCGGACGCGTCCGCTGCGCGAGACGCCAGTGACCTGGAAGTCTAATTTGGAACGGATTAGGAGGAGCCTTCATCTGGTGTTTGTTATGGGCACTTACCTCTGGCCACCAAATTCGAGGTGGGCGATTCCATGTTGGGAGCCCGATCTCCGATCTCTTCCCGCGAATGGAAGTATTTTGGATTTTGCAATTTGTTTTGTAGACGACGCAATAATGTGGCCAGAGCGTTGTGAGCGTTGTGAGTGATGTGAGTATCAATAACGATGGACGTGCGATAGTTACATGAATTAAATTTATAAAAGTTAAGGTATTTGCAATTATTCTTGATATTAAAATATAATTTTGTACATATATATGTTACATTTTATCCAAATTGAAAAACTATATCATACAGCTGTCATGGGAGAGATCTAAGATCTACTGGAAGAAATATTTTTATTAAATTTAAATGGTAGATTGTAACATAATATTTAAATTTTAAATGTATTTTTTTTTTGTAACTTTTCAAGTAAGTCTTTGTGTAAACCTTATTGATTTTACAAAGATATATCTAATTCTCTTTATATCCCCATTTATCCCTCCTTGCCATCTCTCTCATTTCGTGTTTTCGCTTTGGTATTACAGAAAGGCCCATCGCTGGTCACACTGCTGCGAGTTTGTTTTGCTTTTGGGCGTCGTTTGTTTGTTTGTTTGTGTGTGTGCGTTGAAGCGGCATTTGGTTTATTGATTGCACCTGAGACGACGACCGACCTGCTACTTGCGCTGAGTGCCCCATGGCACGCGACGACGTCGTAAAGGCCGGCCCCCAACCCAAGGACATTGGCCCCCCCATATTTGGCGACCCGTTCGCCGCGTTTTCATTACCAAAACGGCCGCCGCCGGGCTGCGATTTCAAATATATCGAACGACAAAGCATTCGCACGAACTCAATCATTGGGAGCAGTACTACTTGAACGCCTAAAGGATCAAAATATAACTGGATGAGAGGATGCCGCTGCCAGCGAGCGATATAACGAGGAACGGAGGAGGAGGAGGAGGTGGAGCAGGAGGAGGAGCTGCCAGCGAAACGGACAATGTAACCGCCCTTGAACTGCACAGTGGGCGGCGCATGCTGCACTTCAGCGACGGCGTTATGGAGGAGCTATCCTCGGGCAGCGAGGACGAAACGGAGGCGGCGGATGTGACCGATCAAAGCTATGCTGTACAGCTGGATGAGGTGCGTCTTAAGTGATATACTAGCAGCATAGCAGGAGCTTCAATGACTAATAAAAACCTCCTCTCTCTCTCTCCTATAGCGCGAAATGGCTTTCGGACCCCGCCTTCGTTACAAGGCCAGCCGCATGGGCAACCGTTTCCTGGCCGGCATCGATTATGTGGGCGGTGGGCTGGCCTCCCTGCTGGGCATTACCAGCAGCAAGTATGCCAGCGAGCTGGAGAATAACCAGCGTAGGGCCAAGGAGGAGCAGGACCTCGAGGACCTTGACAATTGGCAACCGCGGCAACCTAATAATAACAACAACAACAATCGCAATGAGACTTTAGTTCTCACACGCAGTGAGGCGTCCTTGCCACCCACCAGGCAATAAACAAAGGCCAAGGCTCCCTCTAGGGAGGGTCTTGAAGACGTAGGGGAGAAGGAGAACCCCTCCCTCTTGGTTGTTGTTGGTTAAACCAGCAAATCAAAGCGAGTTCTTGACTTTTCGACACTTTATTCGCTAGCAAATAAGTTACATTTAATAAAAGTAATAATTATATTTAAAAAAAAAATGGTAAGACACACATATACTGTTCGTTTTTTTTTTGTTGTATAAAATATTAGTTTCAAAACGTTTAAGGCCTTGGGGGAAATAGTTAAATTCAAGGAAACTCCCAAGTCTAAAGGCTGCATGTGATCCTTAAGGCTAATGGCACACTGAATACGCTAGGCTACGATTGCAATTTGTTGTTAATTCAGTTTCAGTTTAAGTTTTAGTTTAAGTTTAATTTTAAGTTCACTTGTTACACTCATCGGGGGAGAAGGGGACAGCAAAGCGGTTCTCCAGTTTGCGTATCACAGTATTTGGTTGCTGCGTTTATTTTTTTTGTTTCTTTTTTGTGCAGACAGTACAGAAGCTTTAAGAGACGCAGCTCTTTAGGCATCTTAAACTTTACCAGGTCTTTGCTTTGTGTGTTTCTCCTCCTCTCTTACAAAAAAATACTTTAAATTTTTATATATATATAAATGCTATATATATACGCAAAAGGCGTTATATTCTGGCTAAGAAGTGTATAAAGGCAAGAGCGCATTGTTTGTGGGTTATTTTGGTTACACCAATTAGGAGCTTGACAGGCTTTAAGTACACACAAAATATAGGATATGTTTCTGACATTACAACTAGGGTCAAGTCAAGGAAGGAGGCTCCTTTTCTCTCCTTTCCGGGAGGGTTATATACACAGTACATAGATCTATATATATATAATTATATATTAAGTGGATGCAGGAACAATTGATGTGGAGAGAGCTGCTCCTAGAGCAGCGTCTCATCGCCATAATGCTGCAGGGGGGGATAGTAGTGCTTCTGGGAGGCATAGCTGCTACCCCCCGGTGGATAATACAGGCGATGCGAGGAGGAGGAGTGGTCTCCCTGGTGTCCCTGCTGGTGATGATGCTGCTGATGATGCTGCTGATGATGATGTTGATGATGATGCCTGTGCTGGTGCCTGTGCTGATGATTGCTCCTGCCCAACGAATAGTTGGACATTTGATTCAACGATATGGAGCCCGCTCCCGGTGATGTTTTCAGCTTGTAGGGACTCTGCAGCTGCGGCGCCAAGGGAGCACTGACCATGGATGGCCTCACAGAATGATAGGAGACAACCGTGCTGCTGCATGCCGCATGAGAGCCACGCGAGCTACTCTGAGCATCGGTGCCACCAGACAAAGGTTTCATAATCATCTTGTTATTGCCACCCACCTGACGCTTGTACATCATGGAAATGCTGGGTCCCAGGATCCAGGCAAAGCAGCAAATGCCCAGCATCAGTTCCATAAAAGCGCGCACCAAAAACGGCCACAGCGGAGTGCTGGTCTCGCCCGATCCCAGCCAGACATCGATATTGGCAAACTCATAGATGACGGCCAGCAGGAGCAATGCGCAGGCCAAGCCATACATAAAGAGGAATATGCCAATTCCCGAGCTACCATGAGCACTCAGTTGTTGCAGGGTCAGGGCATTACTGTTCCTCAGGATCTCCTTGGTGCGGCAGTGCACCAGGTAGCCGGAGATCAGGTTCATGGAGCCAAAGATCCAATAGCAAAAGACAGGCGTGGCCACCAGCACCTGGAGAGCCTTGTCCGACTGATTACCCACAAAACAGGCGCCTGTGGGGGATAAAGATTTGGTTTCTAGGTTAACCAAAAAGGAGGAGTGTAGAATCTTACCCAGCAGCTCATCGGCATCCACATAACGCGCCACAATCACGGCGGCTGTTTGGAAGGCGGGCAACCCCCAGGCCACAAAACACACAAAGTTATTCTGCGTGAGATCCTGCCGCTTGGCATAGTTGGAGGAGGAGGAGGAGGTGGCGGCGTTGGGGATAATGGCCACATGGCCCTTGGCATCCGGGCTATGACGACGTATATCCCGATGCCAGCCCAGGCAGAGGACAGCCCACCTGGAAATGAATGTATATAATTATAACTTCATCCAAAAAAGGCCACTATAGATCCTTACCAGGCACAGGCAGCCATGCCAAAGTAGTAACGCATCAAAAAGACACTCGCACACGAGGCATTCGACAGTCCGTCCACGCTGAGCAGCGACTCGTTCGGTGCCTGGGGATCTGTGCCGCAGGCTGTGCCCGTTCTGCCCACCACAAAGCGCACGGTCCAGCCCAGGGTGACCATGTTGTGGCACCAAATAAGCGGCGACAATAGACGCGACCATTTGGCAGCACTGGCCAACCGGCTGCCATCGCTGGCCAGCAGCAGGCAAACGGTGGCCACCAGGGCCAGTCCCAAGGCGGCATATGCCCAGGTTGAGACCCATACCTCGGCCAGGTGCTTTTCGGAGGGGGTAAACAGGATATCGGCCTCGCACAGAGGAGCACAGCGTCCGGATCTTGGCAATTTTACATACAAATGAGATTTGGCCAGGCCAGAACAATCTAGGGGGAGTGTTCCTGCAATATTTCCGCCTCCCTGTGACGACGATAATCCTCCATATAAATCCTGTTCCTGCTGCGGCTGATGCAGCTCCTCAGGGCCCTTCATGCACATCGTCTCGTGGTTATTCCACCGGGGAAAACGTTCACAGTCTAGGGCCAGAGGCCAGGGGAAGCCGAATCCTTGGAGCACCGGATGACAGCGAATGCGCACCGATTCGCACAGGCTGCGGCAGGGACCGATCGTGTGCACTGGGGCCTTGGGCGTGCACAGGGGCACGTAGGCGGCACAGAGGAAGAACTTCAGTCGGGAGCTGCAATCGTACTCGATGAGCGGCGCAAATGTCTGCAGCGTGTACTCCACGTCCGCTTGCATCTCGTGGCCCACAAGGTTGGGCATGGAGGTCTCGTTGTAGCCGATCTCGCGGCACATCTCGATGCGGATCGTCTCGCATTGGCGGAATGGCGGCGGCTGCGGCACTGGCGGAGAGCTTGAACTGGAACTGGTGATGGAGGTGGCCCTGGCACTGGTCAGTTGCAGGAGCAGCGGCAGTAGGAGCAGCAGGGAGAGGGACTCCATTTTGACTCGGCCTTTTTCACTTCCAATATGCAAAGTGCCCCGCTCCTGGCTGGAACGTTTCGGAAACGGAGGAATCTAGAATCTGGATTGGTGTAAAAAACCTGTTCCACACTCTCTCCCTCTCGCTCGCTCTCACTGTCCAACGTCTTCTGTCTCGCTCTCTCTCCCTGTTCCTCTCTTGTTATTGTTCTTTTTCTGGATTTTTTTTTGTGGCTCTTGTTTTCGCCCACTCTGTGTTTCACTTTAAATTGCCGGCTTTAAACACACACATTTCCACATCGCGCAGGCGCACCTCTCGCTGGATAATCTTAATTTTAAGTTAAATTTAATCTAATTTCGTTCAAGTTTCGTTTTTAATTCTAATTTCTTTTTTCGTCTCTCGTTGGTAGACCAGTGTGGCCAGAGAAAACTTGGTTTTTCACCTAAAAATTCTCAACTGCTTTGTCACCCGCAATAAAGCGACCTCTGTTGGTTTTATTTTGAAGCTTTAGATTTAGCTGAATAAGAAGCGACCTCTGTGGGTTTTTGTTGTAACTTATTTTGTAAGAAACTGAAGAGCAGCCGCCCTCTGTGGGTTTTTGGCGTAACTAAATCGTTACCAAAGCGCCCTCTGGAGTGCAAATTATGAACATGTGAACGCTTTGTTCCGACTTAAAAAAAAATTAAAATTAAACTTAAAAATATAACATAACGCAATTTAAATTTAGAAATTATAAAAAAAAATAAATGTAAGAAAAAACTTACCTTAACTTGAATTTAAAATTAAAAAAAAAATAATGTTGAGATTTCTTTTTAAATTGATAAACTATTTAAGCTGTAACATAATTAATTAACTTTGTTAAATTTTAAGAAACTAATTAATAACCCGAATTAATAATTTGTGGCTCATCTTGGGAAATCATAAAAAAATAAACCGATAAACCTTAATCCTTTTCGTTCTGTTGTCTCCCTCTTTTTGTCTCTCTCCCTCTCGCACACACACACAGGCCACGCCCATATTTGTGAGCTCGTTTCACCCCCAAAAAAACACACACACGCACACACATCCCAAGCTGGAACTCATATGTGTGTGCGAGCGAGAGAGACGAAAGCCAGGAAGCAAGGATTCGTGTGTGTGTTTATGTATTTCAGGCAGGACTCGTATGTGTGTTCGCTTACGCACACGCGCAGACGTTGAGTCACATACACACATATGCCACACACGAAGGATACACATATCCTTAGCTACCGTTTTTTATTTAATTTTAATTTTTTGTTGTTTTTTGTCAGCGAACTAATTATGAAAAGCCAAAGAAAAGTTTTGTCATCAATTTACAGAAAAGTTGATAGAAAGGACAGGCGGAAGGCAGGCTGCACATGGCACATCCTTTGATAGCCTCTCCTAGATTATGGAGAGGATTCTTTTCCCCGGCAACTCACCTTTTGCTTCAGCTTCAGCTGCACTTTCACTTTTCCTCCTTGGATTTAGAACAATTCCCCGCATTTTTATTTCGCACTTGCCCACTTTCGTTCTTCGTCCTTTTCATTCTTAAATAAAGTTCATTTTCTCACTTATTTTTTATATATGTATATTAAGGGGGGGTGGTGGTGGGAGGCGTTAAAGAGTCGCTGTCGAAAAAGAACGTAAAGTGCAAAGCGCATCAAAAATAAAAGAAGGAGAAACAGTGGGGCTCAAGATATTAGCAGCAGTTTTGCCTGGAAAAATATAAATACCAAGGGAAAAATATAAAAAAATAAATATAAATACTAGAAAAAATATAAAAAGAAGAGATATATATAATACAAGAAGAATACATAGGAAATAATATAATTAATTCTTTTACACTCTCTCTCATTCTGATTTGCTTTGCCTGCAATGTACAATGTACCGCAACAGAGATCTTTTTTTAAGAAAGGAGCTTTATATTCACTCTTCAGAAGAGTTTATGTTATTTTAGAGCTTGGAAATATATTAACATAAAATATGAATTAAACAAATGTACTATTTTAAAAATAAAAGTATAAAAAAGGGAAAAAAGGGAAGGAAATTCCATAGAAATATCTCTAAGCTGATGACTTCAGTTGTTTCCAGTTGCCTTCTTATGCAGTTGCAGGGGGAAAAACCAAAGGAAAAGCGGCAAAGGGAGCCAGGACCAGGACCAAGTCTGTGAAAAAAGTCAGAAAAACACAGGAAAAAAGAGAGAAAACAAGGAAAACAGAGACAGAGAGAGAGGGCGGGGGAGAGGCAATGCGCTGCGCGTTGATGCACAAAAGCATTTGCTGCGTGTAAACTTGACTTTGAAATTTGCCTCATTTGCACCTGCCACACACACACACTAAATGTTATATATAAAAAAGCCTGGATTTTTTTCCCTCTATATATATATGTGTAAAGGAAAGGCTTAACTGTTGCTTGCTGCCGCGGTTTTTTGCTTTTTTTCCCCCGGCAAACTGGTTTAACGCCCGGCGTAGAATTGTGTCTAAATGGAAATGGAAACGTGGAAATGTAAATTTCAATCAAATCGTTAATGAAAACCGGTCACTGGGCCTTACAATATAACAAGATAACAATGCGCGGAATCTCGTCTCATAATATATGCAGGCCTGTCCTTGTAAAAGGATCAAATTCCCCTAATATCCGGCAAATATTTGCTCTACGCTCGGTGCTTGGTGCTCCGTGTTAAGGTCGTTGCTACCAGAACACTTTATATATGCATATATATAAAGAGCTGCGGATATATGCTTACACTTTTACCTTGCACTTGTCACATTTATTTTTCCTCTTTCGCCGCCGCGCCTTTCATTTAATATGCAGCGGGGGGAGAAAGTGGGGGGAAAAGCCGGAGAAAAGCGTAAATAAGGCAAGTCGGGTAAGAAATTTTCACGTCCTTTGCAAGCAAATTTAAAATCACTTTAAGGTTAAGTCGTATTTTTTTACAGGGTTTTGTATTTTTAAATTCAGTTAAAGTGTTACTTTAGTAATTTGATAGAAATATAATAATATAATAATGCTAGGATAGATTTAAGTAGGTGCAATAAATCGATATGATGTTTGATATATTATATTAGAAAAAATATAATCGTTGCAGGAAACAAATAAAATAATAAAGATTTTCTTCTATTGAAATTCAAAAATTTTAATGCAATAATTTCCATTATGATTATTTTCCAATATATTTGAAAATATGGGACTTTTTTAAGTCGATATACATAGATACGATATATAATCAGTTTTTGATTTTTTTTGTTTACTTTTATATTTACTTTTATATTTATATTTGAGAGATATTGTTTACGGGTTATCGATAATAAATTAAGGCCAATATATTTTTCTATTTATCATATGGGACTTTTTCTCTCAAAATACATAGAATCGATATGCAATCGGTTTTTGATTTTTAATTTTTTGGTTTACATTTTATATTTACTATTATTTTCATTTTTACATTTTATATTTATATTTAAAAGCAATTTTTAATCTTTTATCAGTTGCAAATAAATCGAAAATAGTCAACAAATCGATTAATTTGATTCTCTTGAAATGAATTATGCTTTTTTTTTGCGGCCTTCGATTAATCATTTGGCACTCGGCCCTCGCCGGTTCATAAATCATGCTTAAATTGTGAAATTTTTGGGCGCGCCGACAGCTTTTGACCGCGGCGAGTGGTTCGCACCACTCCGCTTCCGAGGATGGCGGGATGGGGATGAGGAAGTGGAAACGCTAGTGGACACGAACGGAGCGCACGCGTAACCTTTGCCATCCCGGAACAGGCCCAGGTCGAGGCTCAATTCCCAGACTGGCCGCTACGCAAAAAAAAAAAAAATGGAAAAACAGTATGTAAATTCGGTCGCGGACATCTGGGAAAGTTGTCAAACCGATTTACTGGATAATTCCAGAGTCAGGGGCGCAGCGCTCAAGGCGGTTGAGACATTTTTTTTAGATATTTAGATATAAAGTACAACATTTTGCAATTATTTATTTAATTTTCAATTTCTTGCCAAAAGTTTTCTTGGACTTATCCGTATTTTGAAACCCCCTTCCGATCGCCGTCCCTGTGCCCTTGGATTGTCCTCCTTGAATTAACCCTCCAACCCCCGCCCGAGGTCGAATGTCCGGGGCTGGACTGGACTTTGACGAAATGGTGGACAGGGGTCACTTGCGGTATTAAATATTTTGAAGAGGGTCGTCGCCGCTCTCCGGCAATTTCCAGCCTGATTTATATTCCATATTTTTATTCGAGGGGTTCGCCATCGGTCAGTTGCAGTTCAGTTCCTGTCACGCCCAGCACTTGGGACTGGCAAGGGGGTTGGATCTCGGCCTTCCACTGGCCTTCTGCTGGCCTTCTCCTGGCAAGAGAGACACAGGTCAATTCTTTGGTTAATTAATTTGGCCAGCGGGATTTGCAAGGGAATTGATTCCTGATTATGATTTGCATTTATTACGGCCTGTTATTTGTGATTTATAATTTGTTATTTGTTATTTGTTGTTGTTGTTCCAGCTGGAGTTTACACGCCACTAGATATGCACTTGGGAAAAGGGAAATTATATATAATAGGTTAAAAAAGAAATAAGTAACTGAAATTTAAAGAAAAAAGTTATTTCTTTAAATTTCAGTTACTTATTTCTTATTAAAATAAACTTATTTAAAATAAACAAATTTCAATTCCAAATACAATACTCCTCATTAAATCCCTTCTCCTTGCCTGAGAAAACCAAGGAAGAGTAAATTTCTCTCTGTGTAAGGGCACTTTATCGGGTCAGCCAAGCATACATCTGGCTACGGGCTTCGCATCCCCGTTACCACACCCACACCCACACTCACAACCCCAATTCTTTTTGTATATTTTTTTTGGGGTATCCAATCTGGGGAGTCCTTCGATGCCAAAGGAAGCGCCTTCGAACGCACATCAATCTGGGCATAATGGCCTCAGATAATAGTGTTTGTTTGTGTGCCAAGGTATGCGTATGCAAAATACATACACACACATACAATATACAATATACTATATAAATTCACAAGGTATACAAATTGGAAAATGGAATGAGATGTGATGGAAGGGATGTAAGCTGGGAAAATGCTTATATCGAGGGGGAAAGCGGATATTATAGATCCAGATTGAAATATTTCAATCGAAAATATCGATAAATATCGTAAACTTTAAATTATCGAAATGTCATGAATCGAAATATATCGGTTTTATTGTTATTTTTAAATTAAAACCGATATTTTTCGATATATGACATTTCGATATGTCAAAGTTTGCTATATTTTTCGATATTTTCGATTGCAATTTTTTTTCTGGCGCTATAAAAATATTCTAAACATTATTATTCGAAATTTGAAATAACAAATTATATCGTATTTCCCATTCGAAATATTTAAAATATGAAAATAAAATTAAGAAAAATTCTTAAAGATAAGAG